AATTTAAAGACAGCAAAGTAGGATCACAAACTTGTTTCCTAACTGAACAACAATTAATGTAAGTAATCAAAGAAAAAAGCCTTGCAATTTGTGGATAACTTGGCAATAGCACTAAATGGAGACAGTTCTGTAAGCGGCGTTATAGAAACGAAATGTTTAATATCCTGTCGCCAGTTGTACGACTCCATAGAGAAAGCGTTATCCATCCCAGACTCAAATTTATGTATATGACCCGAATTAAGCATGTTAAGCATAACAAATGCTTATCACTTTCTGTCAAAATTTGATTCGCTTCATAATTGGAACTCATAACAATGCGCTGCACGTCCTTATAGAATGAGTCATCTAACACTTTCAGATAGAATGACTAACGCTTTAGCTTCTACTATTTTCTACCCAGACTACTGGGTGACGTTACGATGACCCATTAACGAATCAGAAATGGGGACGCTATCATTACGTTTTTAATAGCCAATTGCAACCGTTCTCACTCATGTTAGATTGATGGTATATAAATTGGAGTTAATTTTCTAAGCGTTATTTAGAGAAATATTAATGTGGAAGCACTCCATGTCAAACCAGACGATGAAAGTAACTTTTGACGAAGTGGTAAAAACTGTAGTATTTTTCGTAGAAGAGGGTAATCGTCTAAGACCAGTACCCAAAAAGACACAAAACAGAAAGACTAAAAGAAATTTTGAAAGTTCTGAAACCAGTGCCATTTACGTCGCAAGATCGACGCGATAGGTCAGTTAAAAGGGATTGATATTTATTTTGACCAATTGTCAGCTTGATTAATAACGCGTTCCGCGTTATTCTGGTACTCATGACGTATGGTCAAAATAAATATCAATCCCTTTTAACTGACATATCGCGTCGATCTTGCGACGTAAATGGCACTGGTTTCAGAACTTTCAAATTTCTTTTAGTCTTTCTGTTTTGTGTCTTTTTGGGTACTGGTCTTAGACGATTACCCTCTTCTACGAAAAATACTACAGTTTTTACCACTTCGTTAAAAATTACTTTCGTCGTCTGGTTTGACATGGACTGCTCCCACATTAATATTTCTCTAAATAACGCTTAGAAAATTAACTCCAATTTATATACCATCAATCTAACATGAGTGAGAACGGTTGCAATTGGCTATTAAAAACGTAATGATAGCGTCCCCATTTCTGATTCGTTTATGGGTCATCGTAACGTCACCCTGTAGTCCGGGTAGAAAATAGTAGAAGCTAAAGCGTTAGTCATTCTATATAAAAGTATTAAATGACCTATTCTATAAAAGGACGTGAAACATATTGTTAAGCGTTCCAATTATAAAGCGAATCAAATTTTGACAGAAAGTAATAAGCATTTGTTATAGCTTATCATGCTTAATCCGGGGCATATACAAAAATTTAAGTCTGGGGTGGATAACGCTTTCTCTATGGAGTCGTTCAACTGGCGACAGGATATTAAACATTTCGTTTCTATAACGCCGCTTACAGAACTATCTCCATTTAGTGTTATTGCCAAGTTATCCACAAATTGCAAGGCTTTTTTCTTTGATTACTTACATTAATTGTTGTTCAGTTAGGAAACAAGTTTGTGATCCTACTTTGCTGTCTTTAAATTCCATAATTTTAAATGCGCGTTCAGCAAAAAGAGATGGGGAACTAAAAAATTTTACAAAATATCATACTATTTAATTATAAGTCATTTCAGTTTGGCGTACTTTTTAGTTATTGAGGTAGACAATCAATAATATAGGCACGCTCGCAAACTCTATAACATTATCAAATTTTAGCATACAGGTAATTTGAAAGTTTAACAATGAAAAATGTACTACTTTCTACAAATCATCAATTTACACCTTTTTCAAAGAAAAAAATGTTCGTTCGTTAAATGTTTCGGTCGTTAAAATTGAATTTTGGTCAGTAACGCGCCCTTACAAGGGATGTCCAAAGCATTCAGCAATATCTTTTATCTGTTAACTGAAAATTTAACTAGTTGTACACATAATTATCTAATATTTATGTAGTTAACTAACTAATACAAAATTGATGTAGATATAATAATATAATTATCTGTTATTTAACTGGTAACAGAAAACCTTTCCAGATAATCACTTAATGTGTTAGATAATAATAAGAAACGCAAGGATATGTCCGAAATATTCCGCATTATGTATTAACTAAAATTGTATATAGTTATTCAGATAATTATCTGATACTTAGTTTACTCACTAATAAACACAAAAGTTTTATAGATAAACAGATAATTATCTGATATTTAACTGGTAAATGTTGGCAGTTCTGGACACTTTTTAGTGTTTTTAGAAGTTACATACTTATTCGTTATTTATCTATCTAACAGAAAAAATATATCTAGTTAGTCTGAACAATATCTGTTATGTATCGTGTTAACAGGAAAACTAGCTAGTTAGTCAAATAGTTAACGCGATAATTATATGGTTCACTGTTGGCAGAAATATACCACCATAAAAATGAAATAACAAAATCCACAATTATCAGGAAAAGTACCTTATAAAACCCAAACCCAAACGAAAAAATCAAATACATCGATCACTTAAATGCAATACAGATACTGATACCAAGTGAAAGATGATTTAAAAATTAGAAAAAAAGATATAAAAATATTGCATAATATTTTGATAAGGTTTAATGTGACCAGAAAGAAAAAAACTCATAAAAATTTAACTTTCTATATAATGTCTATATATAAAAGGTGGTGAATTTTATAGGCACTATTCATAGCTGGTGGACGATATACATAAAAAGATATCACTCAATATATTTTTCTTACATTATGTAAATACATTTAGCATAATAAGAATAATGTCATCAAAATTAACTAAACCAGCCGATCAATTACACATTTAATAATATTATGTTATTAATTATGTTATTAATTAGTTGAATTCATTTTGGCCTTGTTATTGGATTGGCCTGAGGCCGTAGTTGTATACTTGATCAAATCTCAAATTTTCTGTTCAAATGAGAAAGAAAATATATGTATGGATATGAATGGTATTGTCATCAAAAAGAAATACTGTTGGAAGACATATAGAGAAATCTAAAAAAATGTATATAAATTGCAATGCTCCATCTTGTTATAAAAAACAGTACAGCACGTATAGACATATACGTCTCTACAAACCAAATAAACTAACACTATTGCGCAAAAAAATGCTAAGCATTTTCAAATTGGTGTCCAAAATAGTCAATATCTAATCTCTTTTAACGCCAAGTTTTTCCTAAATCCTGCTTGGCTAAATCCCGTATTGACCGCCCTTTCCCATATTGGCCGTGTGTCAACTTTACATTCAATCCATGGAACAACTTCAAATTTTATAATTTTGTAATGGAGCATTTACAGGACCATCCTTTAATAATGTTGGAATAACAGTTTCCACAACATAGATGTCCACATAAAGTATTTTTTTAAATGAGCTTTCAGCACTTACTTGCATAAATAACACCATTCTGTTTTTTCACTCCCTGAAGTAGGAGTTACGTAATCAACGTGCTCGGTAGTCAATATGTCTTCATTAATAGTATTAGCGGATGATATTTCACAATCTTATATGCTTAAAAAGTTTATGTGCATAAATTTAAGAATTATATCTCTTTTTCAAAAAAAAAAAAAAGAAGAGATTTATACCTTTTATTTAGAAGGCCACTTAAATCCACCAGATAATGTACCAAAGTTTGTAGCAGGTTTTTCAGGACGTCCCACAAAGCAATTGGCAGGTGCCGAATGTCCAAATATATTTGATGTCTGTGTCGTTGGTAATAATGGTTTTTGCGGTTCTGAAGAAAAGGGATTGTTCACTTGATTTTTGTTATCAGGCTGGTCATTACATCCGTATCCAAGCATTTTAAGAAAAACACACTGAGGTGAAAATTTAAGTGTTCATCTAATGCAATATCAGTTGTAAGCCAATCCCGCACTTTTACGTGACAGGCAAAACATTATGTTATGTCACCACAAAGAGTATAAAAAAGCCAGCCTTTGCCAAAGTATATTTGTTAGGTATTATTTGATTAGACCAGGTTTTAAAAGTTTCAAGTCTGTCTTCGTAAAACATCATATTTTGTGGAACCATTGTTGCGCAATCTATTTGCTCCATTTTTTTAAAAAAAAAAAGAATCCATTTAATGTTACATTTCATTTAGGTGAATGTTGTATTGAGATTTCTATTTTCTTTTTTAATGTTTTTTTTTAATGTTTTTTTTATTTTTTATGTTTTTTTTCCATATTTTTATCTAAATTACATTTCCACATTATCACTGTTATCACATAAATATATTTCTTTACTTGATACAACTGGAAAGTAATACACTTAATAACACTTAACACTTAATACATGTTACTTGCCAGCTAGCTTTCAGTAAAATAAAATATATATAAAAAATACGGTTCCCTCACAGGGTTTTCCGACATTTATAATTATTTGCTACAAGGTTGTAAAGATGTAAAATATAATTAAATAACCTTCACTGTATATAAACAAAATTGTTGTATTATATCTTGCGATGCTATATAATTCGACTACATATGGCTCTTGCGATAACAGTATATAAGGAGTTGTGCTGGTAAAACTTTAAACGTTATTTTCAAAATTCATATTCATCGTATTTATACCCGAATGCGATAAATTACGCTATATAAAAGAGCATTCATTGGTTTATTTTATTTAAAAGTCTTTTCTCCAAACCCGCGATTGGATTATTCAAAATAACGCATCATTAATTTGTAGCATATTTTTACGAAAGCGTCACTAACTACGAATCATTGTTATTGTCTATAAAACTTATAATTATATATGATCATATAGTCAACAAATAGCCCGTGGGTTGTGACTCAAACGTGGGTTATGATTCGAGCGTGCCCGATATCTCTCGTAATTAAGTAATTTATCGTCTAGCTGAATAGCTCGTAAATTTATAACTCGCATAATTCAGCCTATAAGTACTTTTTTTTCTTTCTTTCAGAAAAGATCTTTCGACGAAGAGATAATAGTAAGTATTCAAAATTAGTTACTATTTGTCAAGTATTAGTACGTTATCAGTTATAATAACGCATTTATTTTAGTTTAAACATTATTTCTTTTAGCTCGATTGTAAAAAAAAGCTTGCTGCGTATTTAATTGTAAGAAAACATGCTCGTGACCCTGGTATGGTTCGAACCCACGATCCCTGTAACAAGAGGCAAACATCTTAACCACTAGGCACCCTTATGTATCTATTTTATTATTTTTATTTATTCTTTGTATTCAAACTATATGATAATAATAATAATAATAATAATAATAATAATAATAATAATAATAATAATAATAATAATAATAAAAAGCGTAACATTCGTTTTCCTTCGATTTTCAGATACTTTATTAATTACGTAAATCGGATAAATTTTGTTTGATTCTACTAAAACTTGAATTTTATATTATTTTCACTGGACCATCCCCTGGAGTGACAATGCCTTGGTAAGTGTTTATCGACCTTTAATAAAAAAATCTCGCACGAGCTAAAGCAAAGTATAATAATAATAATAATAATAATAATAATAACGGTAACAATGCGACCTAAATATGTATATAATAATGGTTATTATAACATAATTACGCCGCAAATTTTAACACAACTTCCTAAAAATATATAGAAAGTTTGTTTGTTTTTTTCCTTTTAGAAACGAAAGATAGAAGCGGCAAAAAAGCCGTACAAGTCCTGCTGGATAAACTCGAGAAACTGGTATAGGTAAGTAGACGAAACATTTTATAATAATTTCTACGACTGTTTGTTCGTAAATAATCCGATTACGAGTTAGTTGTAAATTTTTAATTAATTTCATGTATCGTGTCAATTGGTAAATACTAACGCTCAGAATATTGGATTATATATTGACTAATTAATATCGTTCTGGAAGAACACTCGAGAATTTTTTATAATATTGTGTCGTTTTTTTTTTTTTATTTAATCTTTTTTTTTTAATTTCATTTTTTTATGTCGTTTTGGATGTTGTTTTTTTTTTTAAATAAAAATAGTGGTAACAATTTAATAAATGGCTTTGTTGTGTACTTATTGGTGATAAAATACCTTCCGACTTAAACTATTCTGCTTAGAACTTGGCGTTCTTTAAGCGATAATGTTTTTATGTTTAAAAGTCGTTATAGCGCGACCTTAAATGTAGAAATTTATAAATGGCTCTGCTGTGTACTTATTGGTCATAAAATTCCTTCCGACTTAAACTATTCCGCTTAGAACTTGGCGTTCTTTAAGCGATAATGTTTCTAAGTTTAAAAGTCGCTATAGCGCGACCTTAAATTTAGAGTCATATTATGCTAAAATCGATAACTGTGCAGCGTATGGATGTAGTTATTGGATTAATATAGGAACGTTATTGCGTTTCGGAACTAATCGATAAATAGACTTATAATTTAAGAATTAATATAGACTCACGCGATGACGCATTCTTTTAATGACCCCTCATTAGTGAGTAACAGTTGACTCACGCGATGACTCATTCTTTTAATGACCCCTCATTAGTAACTCACGCAATGACGTCATTGTAATAGGGCCTGGGGGCAGCTCCAGTGGCTCCATCTCCAGTGGCTCCAGTGGCTCCAGCTCCAGTGGATCCAGGCATTCTGCCCAAGTCCGCATCATATACTACTAGCATGTAGTCAACAACTTAACAATGTTCTCGAATTTTCTATGTCGTAAAAGAAATTTGCACCCACCTATTCGTCGATTTCAGAGTCCACATCATGAATGAAAATGTTAAATCTCTACCAAGTATTTATAATCCTGACACATATATCTCTTGTTTACTACAGTATCACCATTGTTCATTAAAATGTTTGCAGAAATTTTATCAATACTGGTATAAACTAAGAAGAAATTTTAACACAAAAACAATAATCTGTCTCAGAATATATATAATTCATTTATGTTACTGGTCATCTACCAAGGTAAATAATGCAATACAAGTTTAACAAGTTTATTTATCTTTTCCCAGAAGGTCATAGACCCATGTGGTACAATATGCAAAATATATAATATGACAAATGGCATCAATATTAAATTGACATGATCCCAAACATGCATTATAGTAGCACATCTTACATAGGAAATGGAAACATATAATCACCTATTACATGATGTACATGCTTATACTTCTCATTTTCGTCGAATGTGTCAATAGTATATAATTATGCAACATAAAATCTAAGGAAAAATTAAACGTGATAAAAATCCAATTGTAATAACTTGACATATTACACCAGATCTATTACTGGTGAAGTAGATACTTTAACAGATTAAAAATCTTTCTGAATTGAATTTAAATCATGTTGATAACGAAAGTGTGAATTTTACATACATTTTTACATATTACATGCATCATCTTTGACATTAGTAATATTTAAAGCATTTATTTAACAAATTTGATTGTGCACGGGAGATAATTGCTAAGGTCGCTCGACCTGTATATCGAGTTATGTAACATCCGCCGCACTATAGCTTTAACAATATATTGACATACAATATAGTTTCTTAACATAATTAACTGCAGTTATCTAATAAAATGGAACAAATTTGTAAATAAATATGTATTATGTAATACATGTTTTCAGAGAAAGAGGCAAATCCTTCAAGGAACAATAGTCCTAAACAGGTCTTCAGCTAATGTTCAATTTACAGTGTTATAATTTGATATTTTAGGACCTGAATATGCAATGTTTATAAAATGAAAATAAAAAAATTCAAAATTTATAAATTTTTCTCAAAATGAAATAGTTTGCTTTCTTTTATTAACAGGCTTTTCGCAAACAAGCCAAAAATCAAGGAAGCGTTTACCAATTGTGATATAAAATTGCAGTCCGGTTTGTTTGGTAAAATGGTTCAGTCATGGATGGAGAACCTCGATAATGCCGGAACGTTGGATCAAAAAGTCAGCGGAATGTGTGACAGTCATAAGAAAAGAGGTACCACAGACATGGGACTTTTTAAGGTACTGAGTATTACTCTGAGATGGGATTAGTGGTTGTTATATATTTTTTCAGAACTGAAATGCATTGCATTTTTTCAAAAACAGAAGTCACTACAAGTAGATCTAAACAGTTAGATCATTTGCCTGCAAGCATTCGACAGTATATTTTGCTTTAAGAGTTGATTGCGGATTTTTTTAAGATAATAAAATAAATGTGAACAGTTGTGCATCTAATATATTGTTGATCGCTGGTCCAACACTTACAAATTAGTATCTTTCCTGTAGATATCGTAACATATCAAAATTTAACATTGCAATCGCGGAAATCAGACAGTCAAGCGCAAAAAAGAAAATATATCAAAATACTTAAATACCTTTTCGTTAGATTTATTTTGTATTTTCGCTCAAAGACAACTTTTTTCAGGATGCACTGACTGAACTTGCAGGTTTCGTTAGCGACACTGTAGAAATGAATGGTGACCAGCAAACATCATGGCAGAAAATTAACGAGTCGATCTTGGATGTTATGAAAACCAAATTTTAAATCTTTTAGACATTTCCTACTCTTTTGCTTAATTGATTGTTTGAATTATTCATGACACTGACGCTATCAGCTAAACGAACTTAGACACATTTGGCGGTTGTATTCACATCGGTCTTGCAGTGGTTCAACGAGATCACCATTGTCATTTCAAAACAATCGTAAAGCCAGCAATATACTCGTATGTGTACAAAGAAACGATGAATTATAATAGGGCATTCATGGACGATAAGCATTTCACGTAACTCTTCTAAATCTATCATATTTTGGCAATACAATTTGTATATTTTGGAACTTAAAAGCGATTCTTCATATTTCGACACATTCCAATATAAATAAAATGTTTATGCATTTAAAATTGGTATGTTACATTATTTTAGTATTCAATATACATCTAAGTTTTTTTTTATTTATACTATAATCTTTCTGGTACACGTACTAAATAAATAAATCAAGAACCTATCCATTCACATACTAATGTACATTTTGCAGATGAATCTCGAGAGGGCATTTCCTTAGTACAATAGCAAATTTTATTTAAATTTGTAAGGTTGGCGAATCACTCCTTATTCTTAAATACAACAAAATGAATACATCATTGACGCATGCGAAGAACTTTTTGAATTTGCATTTTTTTCTAAGAATTTGACATAGGAAATACAACAGTTGTTTTTATAAACAATATATTGTTACTTTAAATGATATGACGAAAGATTGCGTCAATTACAAAATGCTGTATTATCTAGCCTTAAAATATATTCTTTTGTTATTTCTAATTACGTTGTTATTTGTTTTCCCTTTATTCATTTCTAATCCAATTCTCAAGGACTGTTTGATAATGTTTGTAGAATATGAGTTTGTATGCGTTTCAATGCTTAGATCTTTGTTAAGTCTGTCAACGTAGATACCTTACAGTTTTTCCTTTATTCATACTCTGACATTTTATGGTCCTATCCGGGAATTTTCATTTTCCATCTTTTTGTGCATGTTTCCTTTCATACACGTGTACAGTTGTATACAACTAAATTATTTTTGTGATCTAAGACACGTACGAATATATGATTACATACAAGGTTAGTGTCAGCAAGGTGTTCCAAACGGACCTATCGGCCGAATAAGGCTCATTTGCTTTTAACAAGCATCATAGTATACCAGTTTTTCAAAAGGGTTTCGTGAAAGTGAGTTGTGGTGATAATATACCTTTTATTTTAAAAAGAGCTAAAATATACTATAAATTCCAGAAAAAAATAAGAACTTTTTACATTAAAAGACAAGATAGTTTCTTAACAGCAATGTTTGAAGAAAAAATCAATTATTTGGTTTTGCCAATACAATACCAAAACTTTATTTCGCTTAAAGGCATCCGGATTGTGCAAAAACATATATACAAAGAAACAATTTACACAAAATTATATATGATGATACAAAGTATATGTTGTGCTTCTCAAAACTACGTATTGGTTATATTATTAGTCCCAATTGATTCGGAACATTTATGACTTTTCTGACAAAGCAAAGTAAATGTACTTATGAAACTTCACCGGTTTATACTCGACCATGTGTATACCCTTAGGATTAAGTCTTTATCTCGCGAATATGTCAACAGAATAGATACGTGTAATGATTAGCAAATTGCAAGGTTATTAATTTGGTCTTTCGATCTTCAATCATTTTTGCTCGGTCCATCCCTTTAACCTTTGCGAGCTTTGTTCTATCCTTTTTAAGTTCCCAATTTTTTGTAACAAATGAAGCTCTTAAATCTTTCAGAATAACACTTTGAAGAAAATGCTTTGCAAACCTGTGGAGTTAGATTATGTGTGATGTTATTTTAGCATCATAATGAAGAAAGACATCAATAAATATGCGTTATTATTGTTGCCTTAAAAGGGTTTGTTAACCACTTTGTCATAGGAAGAAGTTTCTTTATTTTTTATGTGAAAAGTGACAAACAACTCACTTCTTCATAAGGTAAAATGTTTTCAGTGGCACATTTCCTCAAGAGGCATTTCTGTCAGATAATATTGAAGAAAACACTTATGCTTTCATGTCTGTCATAAATACTTTTAAGAAACGTCAATGGCTTTTTTTTAAGGTAAAGACATTAAGTATGTCACTTTCTCTACAGGAGACAAAGGCCCTTGATTTTTGTTTCGGAAAAAAAAAACCCCAAAACGGGTTTTTTGAAAAACCATTCTGCCTGTAATAGTTTAAACCTTATCCCCCGTCATTTTTTGACATTAAAGAAATTGTTTGATTATACAAACCCAAACATAAACTGACTTTTTTTTTTCCCCAAAAACACAACAATCTGAAAAAAGTTGCTTATCTACAGTAATGTGTTTAATACTTTGGTTTTTATCAACGAGAAAGATACCTTCATATACGTCAGACACAAATATTTCCATTTTGAGGCTTGAGATTATAACACGTGAAGGACATTGAATGTCACCAAAGTACGATGCTAACAATTGTCCAGAAAGAGAATATACCGCTAAATGGCCGACGTCTTCCTCTTCTCGTTTCTTTGATCCACCACAGCAAACATAAATCATCCCGTCATTGTATGCAATACCTCGACATCTATCGCCGACTTTAAAGGAATGTTGTAACTTCATTGGCTCTGTCTGAGAGATAAACTGAACTGTCTTATCATTAATCAGAGTAACGGCCAGCAGTGTCGAGTCTATCTGACAAATACCAAAAGGATTGTCATTGACATTCAGCGACGATATGATCTGGAAGGAATCATTCATTTTCTTAATACATTTATTATGATAATCTGTCATAACAATACACCCATCTTCACACATGCACATGTCAAATATTGTGCACGAATGCTTATCATTCTTTGTTCTCAAATTAATAACATGACATTTTTCTGCTTCAATTACTGGAAGATGAAGAACATTTCCAATAAAGTTACATTTCGAATCAGTCACATGTCCGTCCGGTTCAAACCGTAATCTGCCTGTTTTTCCCGACCCTCCTAAGTTTTCTAAACAATCGCCTGCATCTTTTCTTCTCTCGTTAACAAGTTTTATCTGCACATATTTCTCGGATACGTTTTCATGTTTAGCAACACTGATCTTTTGCATATTTTCTTGAAGTGAAACGATCTTTGCATCAACTTCTTTCATGCATGACTCTATATGTTGCAGTTTTATCTGAAAGGTGGCATCCACTTCTTGAAGAAGTTGCATTTCCATTTTGTCCAAATGGTCGTTGATTTTCTTCCTTTCTGATTTTATTTCTTTAATCAATTGGCTTTTTTCTTTGTTCGCATTTTCTACTTCTTCCTGCTTGATTTGTTTTAAGGCGTGGAAACGAGACTGTAGTGTGTTTAGGTCAGCTTCCAGCAGGTTTAGTTTTTCGGAGGTTTTAGCTTTACAAGCTATGTCTGGTATGTAGCTTATACCTTTGCAGCCACTGCAATGAAATAGCCAAGACAAGGTGTTATCAATATGAAATGTCAAAATACAATATAAATGCTAAAAATTACCTGGTAAAAAATTGTCATTCTGTCATTATGATTTTATTACTTCTTTTTCAAAATATGACATTAATATAATAATAAATTAATGTCACACGACAGTTAATTAATAAATTTGTTTTGTTAATAATAAAAAAGTTTTCAAACAATAGCGTTATTATATGTGGCATAAAACTAGAATCTTCTGTTTTGTTTGAATTGTATATTCATAATATTCATATTTCAGTGAAATACTAAAATTGCTATACTAGAATCAATTAACAGGATGTCTTAAATAATAATTGTGAACAAGAAACATTGAGGGGGTGTTATATCCCGAGAACTCAAAATGAGATACAGATGATTTTAAGTGGTATTCAACTTTAATTCATTCTATAACTTATCTAAACAACAAAAGACATGACGAATGGCGATTTCTGCCAGCTTCCACATATTTAAAATGGCCGATTTACCCAGAATTAAAACGTACAAGCTGATAGACTCCGAAGAAAATATTGTAATGAACTTTATTGCTATCTCTGGAACAATGATACAATATACTAAAAATCATTTTGACGACAAAAAGAGGCAGTTATTTTATTCTTTATATTATTTATTTTTTGGTTGGGCTTTTCGCCTTGTCAATGCATCGAAAACGAAAGTAGAATTTTTCAAACATATGTTCAATGGATATATAGGTTGAACAGCCAAGATATCAGACTACAAAAAGGGCTAGCTATTAATATACTAGTATTAAATATTTGTTTTTCCTTGCTGGGTCTTACATCAAAATAATTCCCTTGTCAATGCACCGAAACCGAAAGTAGAATTGTTCAAACCTGTGTTCAATAGTCATACACGTTGCGCAGCCAACTTTATCATGACCAGGACAGTAGACATCAATCAATTTTCCTCCGTGTCTCTCACATCTCTGACTTGGTAATTCCTGCTTTATCCCGCTCGGTTGTTTTACCGTGTCTAGTAACTGATGTCCTCTCATTGACGAAAACTTATTATGATCACCTAAACATTTTTGACACAGATTTTCATCACATTCCACGCAATGTTTAATAGCAGCCACATTCTTCCCTTCTTTAAAACAAGGAGAACACGGAAAATCATGTTCTATGTCCGATCCTTTGTAAAAAGATGGGTTTAATTTACGGCCACTAACGGCCATATTTTCTGCTTAAGTTTACCTTCCTTCTACGGTTGTCATAGGCGTAACATGATTTACCATACTATCAAGTTTAAACTAATATTACGAAGGTAGTATGGTATAGCCTTTTTCCGTTTATTCGTTCATCTTAAATGTTCGTACATTTCTAAAAAGTAAAATACATTGATTCGGTTTAATATGTATTAAAACACCAATAGATAACGTTATTAAGAAATCAGTTATTAAAAACATATCTGTTATATTTTCATCTACCGTTAGTGGACTAATATTAGAATCACATAGTCACATTTTTATAAAACATTTATAAACATTGAGATGTAAATAGATAAAGTCTGACGAAGATAAAGCAAGCATTAATGAATTGAGAAATGATTGACTTCTATGTAAGAGTGACATTGTTGAACTTGACATGGTTAATTGTTTTTATTTGGTACTATTTTTTCGTGTAGAAGAGCTATTTGGGTTTATTGAGGTAAAAACAATAGAGGTTTCATGCTTAATGAACACATTGAAAATGATTTGAAAATAACGTTTCATGATCTTAAATAAACTCTGTCAAACAATTAATTCGAGGACTTTTTATTTTTATTTTGTGAAAAAATAACTTTATAAAATATAAAAAGCTTATATAAATGTAAAATAAAGGGTCTTAAAGTGTTATTAAAAGGTTATTCATTTTAAAACGTGATTTAGATTTACCATTTTATTATGTACACTGAAAAGGAAAACTGTATCAAAGTCTTATAATGTTGCCATGGTGTTTGTTTAGACAACTGTTTTGCGTCAATAGTTTATAATTAACATTCAAGAGACATAAGTTATTTTACTTGAACAACAAACGACAACTTTACTGAAATCTATCTTGGAGATAATGCCACATTTTGTTTATATCTTATTTATTGAAGAAGAAATGAATTGGAGAATTTTGAGATAAGGTGAGTGATAAACGTTTTGATATCTCTAGCTGATTCTTACATCAAATACTATTTGTTTGATCAGTCACGATTGTAATACTACGTGTTGTAATCTCACGTCTTCGAAATGTTATATTGACCGCTATGTACTTCTTTATTTTACACAGGCTTAACATAAAAATGACCTTCATATAATTATTTAAAAGGGTGTAAAGGACGCCTTTTCACATGATTTCAATAGCAACAAGACTTATTAAGCTGATTAGAAACACATTTTAGATATTTTCAACAGAAGACAATGGGTGGTTGCTATAGTTCGGATCTGAACAAACCGCCAGATGTCGGTGAACCTGCCAAGCGAGCTAAACAATCGAATATAGTTGTTCTTACTGAGCTGTCTGATTTAGAAGATGACGATGCCGTACTTAAAGAGCCCACCAAATTTACTTACAGAGGTCGGGGTTCCAACAGCGTGGGGATCATGCAGGTACTTTCTATTTTAATTTAATGAATATAAACAATATATATCTGTGGTTTTTGACAAACTAAATAAAAAGCAATGATAACATGACCTTACAACGCAATAAACGCCTTTACATGGTGACGTCTCTGAGATATAAATACATTATTGCAACAAGCTCTGTTTTTGAAGCAGTGTCTCGATCGTTGTTTCTGCACTTAACTGTCTAAGACAGTTCGGTTTTAAAGCGTCGCCACCAATTTCCTCATCGGTAAATGACTGGATGTGATACTGTAAACCTTTAATCTCTAGATTCTTTTGAAACGACTCTTACCTACCATTTAGGGTGTGCCTTCTGACAAAGATTGATAAATAGTGTTGCGATGTCTTAGAAAACTGTACTTATAAAATGACATGTAATTTTAAAATGTATTCTAATTATTTATCACATACAAAAATATATCTATGGAAATAAACTATCTAGTATGAGGTTTAACTTATTTACTTATGCCAAAATTCAATTCAATATTTTACAAGTCCATGTAAATTGTTGAATTCTGCTTAAGCCGATGCTAGGGGGAATGGACGATAGCTAGCAATTACCACTACCGTCCATGAACAGACTAAATCAAACCAGGGCTGCAACATGTTTGATTTTGCCATCGTGGGCATTCTTAAGAGATAATGTTTTTTCTGTATTTTAAGTAATTAAAACATCATTGTACTATCGCATAAATTTACATTTGTTTTCATTGTATCAATATTTTTGTCCACTGTATATATTTTTTGATAACATAAATTGAATTTTACGGCCGTTTTCTTTGTTATTTTTGTAAGATACAAATATTGTCATATCTCGTTATCATTTTTAGCCTTTGCAAAAGGAACGTGTGGAAAAAGAGCTTAAAGAGATACAAAAAGAATCAAACAAAGAAGTACGAAGGAAACAGGAGCTACAACTTCAAGTTAGTAAGTTATTATCAACTCGAAATTAATAATGTTGGACACTCAATGAAATGAATAATATGAATTATATATTTAAAAACATGTTTTGTTGAAAAATCTAAAAGAGAAACAACTGAACAATGTAAAACATGCAATACGTGTATTTTACCTACTTCCTGTCTATCTGTATCTCTCTTACACAAATTCCTCAATCCTCATACAAATAACTTGTACGGTATGTCTATAATTTTTCACAACCAGGGCACTTTTTTTAAATTTTATTTCTGAAAATAAATGTTCCGCTTCATTTCGTTAAATTTACTTCCTGAGATAAAAACTTGTCTCTATGTACCATTTCCCTCTTTATTTGCAAGATAACTTACTTGTAGATCTACGTGCATACTCAAAAGTTGTTGCAACTAGCTAGCATTCTGTATATTTCCTGAGTGTCTAAAGTTGAATGTATGAGATATCACAAGATTGTAAAAGGACATACATTTGTTTTTCGGTTTATGACAATCCTGATAATAACAATGTTCAATTTAGTATAAAAAGGTTTTTTTCCTTTTTAGGAAAAATTTTCCCCACAAAACATAATTTAAAATTTTCGAAAAAAAAATTAAAGTTCAGGGAAGAAATGAAAGTTTTTGACTGAAACGGAACAAAAAAGTCAAGAAGTATTACAAAAAGAAAAGGAGAGACGGCGAGAGATTTTCAAAGTAGATGACAACATCAAAGGTTTGGCAACGGTTGATGAGGCAGAAGAAGTATGGACAAATCCAAATAAAATTATAGAGAGTAGGGTGTACAGACCTCAGGTTGGTTGATGATGTAATGATTAATAATTATAATTAATTTTCTGATATCGTTTTATTGATATTCTTATTTATTCCATTGCAATACAAATATGGCTACATTAAGGTCTCAATTGTGATGCCGAAATGAATTAGTATGAAATTGACTTCATTCTTTACAGCTTACAAACACAATCAATCGGTCGGTCAATTGATAAATCGATCGATCAATCAATCAATTAATCGAAATAAAATAAGTTACTTTGATACATTGCAACACTGCAAATTACCCATCCATTTCAAAAATTTTATTGGACGAAAGAAGGAAAATTAGCAATTTGAAAAAAATATAACCACATCAAATTGTTTTGGGTCAATAACACACTTCTTGCAAACCTATTTGGTAATTAAGAATCATGCTTTAACATGCAGGACAAAACTAATTGTCTATAGAGTCTTGACTTAAATACTTGCATGTGTAAGTTGTTACGTTTATAATTTTGATATTATTTTTCTAGCAATTTAATCTAACGGGAATAACCAACTCTGGATGGGGATTGGAGGTGCAGGAATTGGGAGATGACCCGGAGCCGAAGCCACCTACATATAGAAAGAAAGACATTGTCCCGAATTTAAACGAATTTAACATGTTTGACAAACATGCTGTGAAGGTAATCATTGTCACAAAAGTGTTAAAGATATAATAATTATGCTCAATTTTGATATTGAAAAATATTGATAATTACTCTACATGTATGTTTCAACAAGCATCTTTTGAGAACACAGAAGAAGATCTGTTACGTTTTAAACGCTACATATTACTCGTAAACCCATTATAGATACATAGTACATATCATTAAACAAAATTTAAAGTTTTTTAAATGACCAAATTAACTTGACCAGCATTAAGGACTTCAAGCTCCAAAATATAGTGTGTGCATTCTTTTATCAAAGTAGAAAATTCAGTTTGAATTCCATATATTTAAATGCATCTCTGCAATATAACTAGTTTAACTAAAAGATAAGCATAGTATTTGCTTATTTGCTATAGATAGACTATGCACATCTTTCAGAATTTGATTGATACTGCTCATGTATCTATTCGACATGAGAATATCCCATGAATAAGATTAAAAGTAGCTAGATTCCTACAAGAATGGTATCCCTGTATTGTAAAACTCATCACCCAATTTGAAGTGGATTCAGTTCTAGTTTCTTTTGGTTATAATAAATCAAACGTTATTTCAAATGTCCAACTAAAAACACAAAACAATACAAAACTTTGCCAATTATTTCATAAGGCAAACATAAGTACGATTGCTTTTCATATTTCCAGGCACCTGTAAATGCTAAAGCATCTGTGTCAACTCTTGTAAACTATTTCAAGTCGGCGGCGGAGAATCATTTTCAACTTGTCAGGATGTTTTACAGATGGATCACTTTTAACATTAGGTAAGCTTTGTTTATTGTTTATTTCAACTAACGCGAGATCTACTTAAACGATATGTACTTAATAATTTAACTCTGGAAAAGCAAGCAAAGCAAAACTCATTGCGTAACTAACTTAAGATGGCAAGTTAGATAAAATACATTAGTAAGATTCTTTTTAAAAAATGATTTAATATGTAAGTCATCAAATAAGAAAATTATACTTATATAGTCATTTGTATAGACATTAAAATAATCTTAAAAGCATAAAACAAATTACCTGAATACAAGATTTTACTATTTTCTCATTTATATATGTTTCGCTGTTGTTTTTATACTTTTTATTCTTATCGTTCTCGTAGATTCAAACTTTGTTGCTTGCGTGTTACAGCTAGTATTCGCATAATACATGCATTCACGTATATAACAATGTAAGATATTTATATCGCTTATCTCTATCAAATGTAATTATCTCATTTATTAATATTTCACCTATATCTAGTTTGATTGAAAGAGAAATTTCATTGTAATTTTCTTGTTTATCAAAGATTCAAAGTGTTTGGTCCATGTATCGCAATTTAAGTTCATGCCTCTCTACACGTGTCCAAATGTTTTGATTTTTTTCTCACCGCGAATTACAATATCAACATATTGTTTACACAATCTTAATTTCGGCATATGTTTTTGCTATCACAGTTTTGACATAGAGGGATATTTCGGAGAGAAGATGTTACAGTCTGTTGACGCTGAGGATGTCCTCCAGACCGGTTACACTATATCAGAAGGGTATGCCAACCTAATGGAGGCAATGTGCAGGTTAATTGTTTACCTCATTACAATAAATGTAGCACTCTTTGATTCCACAGTACATTCTGTCTTTAACAGATCAGTCTTGTTAACTGGAGAGCTGGAGAGTAAAAATATCTTTTCTACCAGGTTGCTTCTCACACAAAAGGAATTCGACATAAGAACACTAGTGGTATTTTATGAAATGCGTCTTCGACTCATGTTTAATAATATATTTGATTTCCAGAAATTATTTTATAAGGTTCAACGTTCAGCAGTTCAAATTTTGATTCAATGTCATAAGTAACCTTTATTTATCATGTAGGTTTCTGTCGTATTTGTTTTTATCAAACACTACTTACATAAAAAATGATAAAAGATAGAAAACTGGAAGATCTTGCCCGATGCAACACGATTAAAAATGTTACTGAATCGGTTTGATCGATCGAGCGCTTCATGAACGGCAGAGCTAAATGCAAGCTATCGTCCATGTCCCTTAGCACCGGCTTTGATCGGCTATGGTCACGGAACCTTTATATTTGTGCCATTTCGTGGTTCTGCTTTCTCCCTGTTGTTGTACATTGTAATTAGTTTTCAAGTTTTAATTTCAGATTTGAAGGTATCCCTGTCAAGGTAATTTACGGTGTAGTCAAAGGTTACGACCATCAGGTCGGAGATATTGTTAGCTTCACTGAAAGCAGTATCTTGCATTATTGGAACGCTGTTTACATCAACCGCAACTGGTTTTTCATTGACTGCACATGGGGAGCAGGACACATGGACAAACAACGGAAATGGCATCGTAAATTTCAGGTCGGATATTATTTAACATTGCTAATATAGATAAGCACAACATATTAAATTTGTAAACTATCACTATAACCACATGCTTGGATAGCGCCCTTGTAGCTGAAGGGTTGTCTTTAAGGGTTGAAAAATCAGAATTGTAGCCACCCTTTCTCCCTGCATAATCAAAGGACCAAATTACTGGAGTCTATGCATCTCTCAGCTCCAGCAGATGAGGTAGCTTTGACCCTTGGTCATGCTTAAAGTTTGAAACACCCGATGTTAGCCAAAATCATTAGCCAAAATCATCTTTCCTTTCCTGTTATGTTTTCAATATGACCTAAGTTGATGCGCCGTAAATCAAACAAGACAAAAAACATTAATCAACATGAACGGATACACAAAAACACACACAAAGATAGAAAATAAACATGAATTGCATCCGTGTAAAATATGTTGTACAATACTGATCAATGATTAATTTTTAAATCATATACGTACCTTAGAGATGACTTGGCTAATTGTTTGTTTCTATTTTTAGGAATTTTATTTCATTGTTGACCCAGATAAAATGATTGTAGACCATTTCCCGTACATGGATGGAGATTTTAGAGAAAGTGCTAGATGGCAACTGCTACCGTCACCTGTTAGTGCAAACTCCTTCAATCAAAGGTATGTACAATAGTAGTAGTTCAGCAATGAGAATGTCCTCATCCATTTGTTGAATATCAAATTGGTCCAATGCTAATTCGAAAGCATACAGGCAAAATTGTTTTTTTTTCTTTTTTTTTCTTCTTTTTATGTGACAAATAAACGACATATACTAGTATCTTTTTCTGACACTTCATGCATATAAAATCGGTCACAAAATTTTACTTGTGTATTAAATAGGTCACAATAATTCACTTATCGCCAAATCCAAAATAAACTTGATTTTTGAGGGAAATAGTATTTTGTGTGTTTGTACTTTAAACAAATAGTTGATAATTTCGAGTTTTTGACGATTTGTTGATTCACCATCATTTCAAGATATAACATAACTAAAACATCCTCGTGGACCACTGCTTTAAATTAATAAAGAGGCGAGTGCCTGGACAAATAATGCATTTGTTAGCCTTGTTTACCAGCAAATCACATTGACGTATGTCCATTTTCAGATTGAAAATGGAGAAGGCGGCTTTAGAATGGGAAGTCAAACCAGTGACTCATACTCAACACCATATTATTACAGTACGTAAGACCATTGTGGTACAGTTAGAGGAAGTTGCTAGCATTTTAGAAGACTACACCGTACAGTTCCAGAGGAAAGATGGAAGCAGGAACCTAGATAAGTTCTTTTTCGCCTGCAAGCTTAACGAAAGAACGCTTAAAATCGAAATTAGACCACCTGAAGAGGTGGACTACCTTCTAAATATATTTGCACAAAAGAGTTTAGATGCTGCTGGTGAATCTGAACTTCTCGTTACTTATATCTTGAAGTGTGTTGAAGTTCTAGAAACTATTCGGCAGTTTCCGACAAATTTCCGTATATTCGGAGCCGTTCCGGATTATGCAAAATATGGCTTTTGTTCGGATATAACGAAATGTTGTGAATACACTTGCTCTTCCGGTGAGCTAATCCTTCCGCTGAAAACCAAACGTAATGTTGCAGGCATGACGAAACTAGAACACATCACTGAAAATAAAGACCTCACGAACTATTGTCTAATAACTACAAAAGAACGCGGGATTTCGATCAAAATGCGGTTTCCGTTTGAGGGATATTTTAAGTTTACGTTATTCGGAAAACAGGATGCCAGTAGTGGTTTTAGACCGGTTGCAACATTTCTGATAGACTGTGACCAATCTAGTCACGTGCATTCCGGATTTCCGGTTGCGTTTGAAGCTGCGCTTGAATTAAAATGTACGTTATACAAACCTCTCTGGAAAGATCTACCTTCAAACTCTACTGTTGTTATTATCATGGGGTGTCCAAACATAGCAAGAGCCAGTGTGATGTACCAGGACCTGGTGAAGGATGAAAACGGCATTTTCGAAGGAACTGTGAATACACCTCCTGCTGGTCAGCCCTTTACTATATATGGGCAGAAAACTAGTGATGGCCCTCTTGTAGGATTGTTTCATTTCACAATATTCTAGTATTATCTTTTTCAGCCAAAACATACATATTTGGGTATATCTTTGCTACGTTTATTACAGAGTTTGTCGATGGAGTATTTTAAAATAATTCGATTTTAGTAATTCTTTATTTATACAAATCATCACTACAATTCTTATCATGTGATTGAATTATTTGGTTTGTACAGTAGTTTATATTACTAAAATATATTGCATGAATGTAGCAATAATTTGACGCATCTGCATGTATATGATTAAAGAAAATAAGTAAGGAAACGTATGACACACATATACCCACAATCTTCCCACCGTGTTTACTTATTTGTTATAATAATTTGTTGAACAAATAAATTTAAAAACATATCTCGTTATCCTTTTACTGCATTAGAAAAGCGTACAGAGCTCGACAAAGGTTTTGAAAGCAACTCGTCCTGCAGGACGAGCAACTTAAAAAATTCACTTGTTCTGCTAAAATGTGTACTCGTTCTGGAAAATGCTTTATAATTGCTAGGAAAAACTTGTATTATGTAAAAGCTTATTAAGCAATCCTTATATATATGTAATCGCGATCATTCTAAGAGTATGGGTCCTCGGATCATATTAGTGTTCAGTGTATACAAACCTTGCTTGTGAAGGAGGCTATAAGCTAAAAATCAGCTTGTTGAACCAGCCAGTGCTGAGCGATGAATATCAAATTTCTTGCTCAAGCAAACAAGGGCTTGTCCCGCGGCATGCGATCACTAGAAATGTTAGCGTTTAACAGCTCTGGTTATTGAAATGTCATACATTACAATAACAAGACGATATATACACCTTAACTAAAATAAATGGTAGGAATGACTGCCGTGCTTTTTGGACCAGAAGGAACATTATCATTAAAGTAATTTAGTGAGTACATGAAAATTTTTATTTTCAAGCAAAATAACACTGTTCCCTATCTTCAAAATGTATAAATGTTTCATTCCGACAGCTTCATTAAAAACACACACATATCAAAGACCACTAGTCCCAAAAAAAAAAAAAAAAAAAAAAAAACAACATTATTTCTCAAAATTTGTTATAGTTTGTAACAGTAACTAATATGCCTTTTTTCTGAAACATTTTTTGTTTCTGTACCTTTTTCGCAATTAGTACCAGTATATTTATTGAGATTTAGTATTTTGGATTGAAATTACTACATGTAGTTTCTTTACATTTTGCTACTTTCAAGACAAAAAAAAATAATTTCACACTCAACGTTTTTTTTTTTTGCATGCGATAAGCATCTAACATACTGTTAAACCAATTATTTAAAAGTGTGCCCTTTCTAAAGACGGAAAATAAAATTTCCGAGGCAAAATGTGCCTTTAAATAGTGTGTCTGAATTTTGCCTTTTTACATAATATTAACATGGTCCAATAAGAATATACATTTATTTTGGTGATATGAAGCTTTTAAAATAACTGAAAATACTTTGAGAGATATAAAACTTAATTATACTTTATAATTACACGTTTCATATAACCACTAAAGTCTTCAGTGTTTGCAAGTACTTGTAATTGAACTTTTACATAGGTTTTATGCTAATTACTACGAGTATCACAACGCCCCATGAGTCCGTCTGCTTCAAGACAGCACACTATTTTTCACTCTGCCAAGATTTTTCACCACGACCTTTCCTTTTAAAGCTATGCTTAATTTTATTTAAGTATAGAAATTGAGTGAGAAAATAAAGAAATTTAAGTTTACAAAAGTCACTTACAATCAATATAAATTACATAAAATCTACCAGAATATGCAAAACTACCGTTTTTTCTGTTAATAACAGATAGATAAGTTATGATAAAAACACTAACTACAGCAAAATTTATGCAAATAATAATAAACTTTGTGAATTGAGAATATACATGTATATACAGTTGTAAACCTTTTAACTCTTTTTGTTTTTAAAGTATGATTTCTTGAAATTTTATTCTTTGCACATCTGAAGGCGAGTATCTTTAAAACTTAACAACACCGAAAGTTGTGACGAACTTAAATTTAATTTACGTAAAACTCGATCAGAAAGAAAAATCTGGTGAAGATAATGTACGACTAAAATAGATTAATAGAGCATTACAAAATATATAAAAGATTTAAATGTAACGTAAATCGATAGATTAGATTTGCTTGGCGGTCTACAATTGATTCCTTTGTAATAGAATAATAATAAATACCCATGTATGAAAACGAAACGTCTATTTAGAAACAGGAATATGTTAGTTCAATAATTAAACTTTTAATTTTTATCAAAACGAAATTAGTTAAAATTAGTAATATGTAAATTTATTATTTTAATTGTGCGCGAATGCAAAATGGAAAATACGTTCCTTTAAAAATCAAATTATTTAAATAATCTAAAGTTGGACTTTAAACTTTAATAATGAGAAAACATTATGAAGGTTGAATCGGGCAGACCTCATTTCTGCAAAACCTTTCCGAGGACATGTAGAATTTGGATAATCATAAATGTAAAATAATAACGCGTCTGCTCGGAGGAGTTTGCGATCTGAAAACGAGGCTATGGAGGATCTAAAACCGGATCAATCCGGTCACAAGCAAGAGTATCCTTTGGCATACCGGGATAAAGATGGCACAATAAAAGTTTATGAGGAGGGCAAAGAACCGTTTGTGTGGATAAAAGATGGGTCTGAGACAACTAAAATTACTGAAGACAGGGGCAGTAACTCTCCTACAAGTTCGATGTCCAGTCAGATATCCGGTACCGGTGAAAGCTACACAGAATATAAGAAATCAAGTGGCAGTAGGGTACAGTATATTATTTTGATGTAAATGTAGGCCTATACAAAATGTAAATTATTATGAGTATGCCCCATGTTTGCAACAAAACAGTACTAGTCGCAGCAGCAGCAGCAACAGCAGCAGCAGTAGTAGTAGTAGTAGTAGTAGTAGTAGCAGTAGCAGTAGCAACAGCAAAAATATTAGTAGTATTAGTAGAAATAGTTGTAGTAAGTAGTAGTAGTAGCAAGAAGTAAAAGTAGCAACTGCAGTAGCAGGTGGTGATAATGATTATGGTGATGATGATGACAATTATGATGACGATGATGATGACAATGATGATGATGATGATAGTATTAAAATTGAACAGTAACTGGAAATAGTTTGATTTTGATGGGTGGTCAGCTTAAATAGATATCTTTACTTAATCTTGACAAATCCTATGTAATATTTGTACAAGACATTTATTTTTTCTTATTTCGGTTGGTTTGATTAGAACGCGTTGAACACATTACAGACGGCATTTCCTGATGAAGAGGTGGTGGTCCCGTTATCTCCCGTACCTGAGCTGGCGTTACCATGGAAACGAAGACATGATATTATGCCAGACGACATGGCTTTCCGGGAAATTGACGAGCATGCAATGAAGGTTAGGATTTTTGTCATTCAAACATTTGTGAAAACTTCGTTTAAAACCAATTTCGAGTATAGCCTGTTTGCACTTCTGCGTTAATGTCAACTTTAAAAAAGACAATATATGACTCTTTCAGAGGTGGTCCTTAAACACAGGTTATTTTATTTAAGATTTACATGCTGACCATCTTAGTTCCTTTCTTAACATTTAAGATGTCGCGTGTATGATAATTGCAGCCAACTGTAATTCATGTACATGTACAAGTTGATTAAGCTACACTTATGTTTATTCATATAATTATCTACCATTATATCAGTTGTAATTACTAACTTAAACACAGTTATTAAATGTAGTGTTCCAAAGAGCTTAATTTCAATTGATGTACACTCGATAAGGAACTTTTGAGATGAAATACAACAAAGAAGCTATCACTAAAAACATACCGTAATATGCTTATTACATTTAAAAGTTAAATGTATTTGGTCTGTTTCCGGCAGACGACATAATTATTTTCCATGAAACAATATTTGATTACAAATACGCTCTGAATCTGTTTGGAATTCAGGGGAACTGTTTTACAGTACATCAAGTATGTTACAAAGGATACCATTTGACATTTTTGAAATTTAAACAATAAGTATACAAAATAATTTCTGTAAATCAACTCCTGATAGTAAAAGTGACTTTTCTATTTCATTTCATAAAACTAGCTTAGCACTACAAGTACAAATACTTTAAAATTCATCAAAAAACGTATATGTTACAGGCTCCTCCATTGGTCAAAGAAGATCTATCTCAGCTCGTGCAATATTTGTCATCAGTGACTCGAACAAATGTTGAACTGGTACGGGCATTCTACGTCTGGATTACGCATAATATAAAGTAAGGTTCATAAACGGATTTGTTCGTAAGATGTTTTTCTTTCTGGTTCAATGGCATTTAATAAGTTAACCGCTTTAAATATAATAGAGTTTGTTTGTCTTTTAAGGCCCATTATGCCTAAAATGTTGTTGTTTATTTCTCAAAGTTTTTTTATTTTATTTTTCATTTGTGGCATCCTTTTATAGTTTCCAGATAGATACTCATTGGCCGATTACCTGAATCATATTTTGCTTCTATTACTTTTCGGCAATTAATACAGATTTAATATTTTGTATGGAAGTCAAATACAACGTACTTTGTTAACATTTTGTTAATTTTATGATAAATTTCACATTCAGCGCTACAAGAATTTAACCTGCTCTAAAACCATTATTTAAACGACATAAATGTTTGCTCTTTTTAAAGAAGGAAAATGTAATCGTTTCAGATTTAATGTTACGATATCAAAGATTTTCATAGACCCCATTTACACATACAAGGTGACAATAAAATTTTCTCCATGTTACATTCACCAAAGATATCTTTAAAAAATGCGGAAGATTTTAGTAATGTTAAGAAATAAAATATCTAATTTGTGTTTTTAGCTATGATACATCCGGGTACTTTGGAAGAGCCCCCATGCAGCCGACGGATGTGGAATCGGTTCTGAAAACGAGGCTTACCGTTTGTGAAGGATACTGTAAATTGTTTGAAGCATTCTGCAGGTGTGTATGCTTAAACCTAGTTCATGCGCTTTTATCAGGAGAATTAACAGAAAAAGACCATTGGTAGAACACTGGGTAACTGTCCATCCTTAGAACACTGGGTAACTCTTCATTGGTAGAACACTGGGTAACTGTCCATCGATAGAACACTGGGTAACTCTTCATTGGTATATCACTGGGTAACTGACCGTCGGTAGAATTCTAGGTAACTGTCCGTCAGTAGAACACTTGGTAAATGTCCGTCGGAAGAACACTGGGTAACTGTCTGTCGATAGAACACTGGGTAACTGTCTATCGGTAGAACACCAAGGGACTGTCCGTAGCTATATGGCATAAATATTGATCTTAATTGAACTTAAATAAAAAATAGTCAAACATTCAACTTATGAAATTTTAGTAAGCAGAGATCAAGCAGTGATTGTAGATATTGATCCCAAAATACACATATTGAATATTTTAAAGGGACGGAATAGTAATGAGCACATCAAAGTAAATCAGCAGAGTTAACCCCCTTAAATATTATTTATATCTACCGTCTACATGCTGCAGCACTATGAAAATAAGGAAGTTCTAATTATTCACCTTTGCTCAATAAATGGTTGAAATGACATTTTCATATTTCGAATATGTGTTTATCTACCTTCCAGAAAATTACTGTTCGGCTTGAACGTCATTTATAAAGAAAGAAAAAAAAACATAATTAAAAACCTCATTATAATCTTGAATACAATATTTTAAAAGAGATTACATAACATTTCAGACAGGCAAGCATTCCCGTCAAAATTATATGTGGTTTTGCCAAGGCCTTTGGTTGTAAACCGGAAGAAGATGTCACGAAAGAAATTCACAATGCGCATGCGTGGAATTCTGTATTTCTTGAAGGTGGTTGGTTCCTTCTCGACGTCACGTGGGGTGCCGGATTTGTAAAAGCCAAGGAGAAAAAGTATGTTCCTAGGTTCAACAATGCTTATTTTCTTACCGATCCGGAAGTGTTTATAACGGACCACTTTCCGGCATCAGTCCCTGGCTACTCAAACTGCGAAAGCGGAAGAGAATGGCAACTTATTTCTTCTAAACTTTCTAAACGAGAGTTTATCAATGTAGTTAATTTCGATAAACATGGAAAAGAATGGGGAATAAAACCCGTGAGTCACATACAATCGGTTATTCACAATGTTGAAAATGAGCTTGACATAGTTCTTAAGGCTCAGTATACGGAAATGCTGGACTTCATCGCGTTTTTGTACGAGGATGACCGGAAACTAGATCAGTTTACATACACGTACATGTTGAGTGAGAAAAAAGTCAACATTCACATTTGTTTGCCAACGACTGGAGTTTTTGCGCTTCAAATATATGGACGACGTAAAAAAGATGGCCGCCGCTCGGATTATCAACCTATTGTGAAATATATATTGCAGTGTATAAAAGCTGATGAAGACACGGTTCCTTATCCGGCGTATCATACGCTGTATGGTCCTGTAGAAGATTTACACAGTTATGGAATCAACGAGGTGGGAGCCACATATCAAGAATCAGAAGAAGGGGAGATAATCATTTCAGTAAAACCTACTCGGTATGTTGATATCCTTCCAAAATTGCAATTTGGTAACCATAATGTCAACTTGAAGGAATACTGTTTCGTAGACTACTCGGATTGTTTCCAATATATCAATATCATTTTACGATTGCGATATGAGGGATATTATAAACTAGAATTACTCACTACGCCAAATGATTCTAAAGAATTCAGTCCATTTGTAGCTCATCTAATAAAATGTACAAAAGCCTGCACAGACGGCATTTTCCCTACTACCAAAGAATATGCTCTAAAATTCAAATGTAGCATTCTCGAACCTTTGTCAAAACATTTGCCGCCAAAATCAGAAGTTTTCGTCTGCGTCAAGTCGCCCATTGTGAAAGAGATGAAATTTAACGATTGTCGTCTGAAAAAAGTGGACTCTGTAACCTTTGAAGGAACAATTAAAACACCTGCGGAAGATTGTCCACTCTCGATTGACGCATGCGCAAAGGACGGCATATATCATACTCTTTATACATACGACACGGTTATACCCCTTGATATGATATCATTGATTCCTTCAAATTATTCATAGTACATGTGTATTTCGACAATTATAGCTTAACAGCAGAAATTGTTTGCTCTTTATCATTTTAAGTGTTTTGTTGTACAATTTGTTCTTTCAATTTGGTATGTTGAATGTATCGATCAGAAGATAAAAATGCAAATCTACATTACAGCTATTGTTTTATTTCAATACAGTAAGTAATTTAGTAAAGGAAAACTCCAGCTATGACAACATAAAATTTAAAGGTAAAAAATGTGAATGTAAAGTTAAAATTTAATTTTAAAGATATAAATGCAACAAAATAAATAAAGTTTCAATAACGTATACATCAATACTAAAAATCTTCAATGTCATCAATGTACATGTCTTTTTCCTCGCGACTAAATCCTTTCTGGTTTTTATTTATCCTTGATGGTAAATTATTCCTTTTGTTTGTTTGTATTGTCGTAAATTGCTGATTTCTTGTAAATTGCGTAGACGAAGATGCGAATCCGCGTGAGGGCGCTGGTGTTGTTGTCGTCGTCGTTGATGTCGCGTGCGAACTACTTTGCGTAGAAATTCCACTTTTTTGTCCGGTTTGCACAGTCAATGAACTTTGCGACGTTTTCTTTGTGAAAATACTGTCATTGTTCAACGACGATTCAGGTAATTTATGATTGCTGATTACATTAAGTTTACTCTTCTCTGCAAACGGATCTTTTACGGTTATTGTCTTTAATGGGTCCTTATAGCTTTTTGAAGTTAACGGATCCGTGTATTTCGGCTTCACATGCCCGTTTATTCCACTTGTTATTGTCTTTGGTTTGTTGGACAGAGAAAACTCGTCCAAATCATCGTCAATCTCAGTTACGTTAATAATATCGTTTCTTGCCCCTTTTCCTCCGCGACGATGATGCGCCATTTTACCGCTATTTAAATGATAACTACGAGTGAAGTCTCTCGCTATTCATAACATTCTTCTCTTCCAAAATCACCTATTTTTCTTCCACTATTACAGCGGAAAATGGGATATTTGCTTAAGATGTACACTATATGATTACAGGGTTATTAAGTTTTAAAATCCAATATAAATCACATTGATGGATATATCGTGCAATATATCAGAAAAAAGTCCTTCAGTAAATTGTATGCAGGCTAAAGTTCTTTTTTCAATCCTAAAAAGATAAATAAAAAAGACATCAGCGATCTTTTTAAAAATGACATAAAAATACCACTTGTTAATTGCAAGCTATTTTCTAAAACCTCTTTTTCATTTCATCTCTTCACAGGCTTTTATTTACTTTGGCTTCTTATGTTACAATTCTGGAAAAGTAAAAAGTAAACACGTTCATTAAACAACGGTGCCGTTTTCAAAACACACACATTTTTAAAAATTCCTGTATTTGCGCAAGGTTAAGCGCTTGAGTGACAATATTTGTTTAAATTCATACTTAATACCTCCGTTGGCTGTATTACTTTTGAATTAAATAAAACGTTGTTAACAAGTACCTTTGAAAGGGGTAGAATTAATACTAAGAGTAAAAAAGAATTCTATTTTTCTTGGTCAAACAAATGAATGTAGCTTTTCAAATAAACACGCCTTAAAAAATATCAATCATCGATTTCAACATTTTCTGTACATAATATCAAAATCAACTCTTAAAAAACTAGAAGAAAGTCATTTGCCGTCTATATAACTTAACTTTTACACGATTATTTGACGATATAAAACTATTTTCATTCGATGTCATATAAACGTTTTTATTCAAATAAATTGGAAGTATTACACCAATGTTAAATAATCGTTTGAATTTACAGATGAAAACATTAGGACTGCAAGATCTCGTCATAATGGGTTCGAACCCCACAAGTTAGGAAGCTAATTTGCTAACATTCTGGTTGGTATGTGATTCTGTCAAAGGTCCCTTTTTTTCTCTTTTGTGATGGATAATTGTCTTGTATTTGTCTTACAAATATTCCATCGGTTACTCGAGTCTATTCGGATAAACCCAAAGCTCATGAGAAAAAGTAGGTCAACGACTTAGTCAATCTAAAGACGGCCGCTCCTCCAACCCCTTTTATTAACTGTTTTATTCGTTTTTTCCCATATTACAGGAATTCAGTAGCTTTTTGAAGAATGTGTAAAAAACACTGTCAAAATGTCGCTTACCTTACCTCAAAATCCAATGACCCCTTTTATATTATTTCATCAAGTTGTCGATCTTTTTTAAGTGCATTTAATCCAAGTGAGCAACTATTAGTTATTGAAATCAATTCGCACCGAACAGCAAATACCCATGATTATCTTCCATTCCTATCTCCCGTCACAAAAAAAGCAAATAATTTACACACGTTTCGTTTCATTTATCTATATTCCACAGTCACGATTTTTAACTCGCAAATAAACCGTTAAAAAATATTCCCGATTCGCGCTACCTTTTTTCAATCTAAGGTATCCGATATAAGGATAGATAAAACGTCACCGCTTAAGGTTGAATTGACTTTAAACCATTTATCTGCCCAATATCCTTCCAATTGATAGCAAAAAAACCTTTAAGTACCAGTTGTAGTGTATTTGGACTATTGGTAATATTAGTTACAACCTGAATTGCTTTATAATTACATATACATATTAAACTTTTAAACTGTTTATCTTAAACGGGTTTAGATCTAGTAACCAAAGCAAGAAGTGTAAATGTAAAAGTCGAAAACTAATGATGACTCTAATCCTTGACCGACAGACATGTACAAACAACGTAACTAGTTACGCCTCGTTTGATGATTAAAAAATAAGATTAATATTAAATACCGTGACATTATTTTATTTTTTATATCCGCCATCGTAAGATAAATAAATACTTCACACGTGTTAACGCGGAGATATAATTATCTGTCTTTTAAAATGGTGCAAAACAGTTTTTTTTCTTGAAAAATTTTCATTTTATTTAAAAATACAAAAAAAAAACAACAAAAACAACCCCCCCCCCCCCCCCAAAAAAAAAAAGACAACACCTTCTTTATAATGGTCACTCTTTTTCATATATGCAAAGTGAAATATGGTCCAGTTCTACTTAAAGCTATCAATTTAGCTATCACCCAGTCAATATAAATCACGAGATTATATGATCGCGCGATAAGTTTTACTTAAACAGGCTTCTTAAAAAATGAAGTATGATAAATTACAATAAATAATCAGAGAGCTGTTACTTTTATCTCCTTGTGCACATACTATCATTCGAAAGCAATTTATTTAACATAGTTTGCAACAACGGAATCGAATAATTCAAAGTATTTACTTCTGCCGTGAAGAAACAACCGTCATTATCACAAAATGAATTGTATAAAAAATTATGTGATTCTGAACTATAACAAGAGCCCACCTCCGAGCGCTCGACTTTTTCTTATTTCTAAAGTCAAACACATTTGAGGAAGAATATTGTAGAAAGAATATTCCCAGAATGAAAAAAATATAATTCAAATATAATATTTGACCTTGACGGTCAAGGTCATTGAAAGGTCAAATCAGAGTTTATCATAGTTTTCGAACGGCAACAGCATCAAGCAACATCAACGACGCCATTACTGTCAAATTCGAGCTAAAATGAAGCTAAACTGTGCTGTTATTTTTGAAATACAATACTTCAAGACATAACAGAATAGATTTTGCTTTTCAAAATGAAAAAAAAATCTTTGAGAAATATTAAACAGTAAATTAAAAAAAAAACAAAAAAAAAAACAACAACAACAAACAACAGCAGCAGCAGCAGCAAAAAACAAAGAAAAAAACACGCACACTCACAGTTCCATTAAAATCCTACCTTGAAATCTTGTGCAACTAGGATCCAAACAAGATTAAGAGATGGTGACAACTATATTACAAAAACTGAAAATTACAACTTTCCGAAAAACAGAAAAATATAAGTGCAGCTCAAGAAGTGCCGTTTCACCTTTTCCTTTGAGTGACATTCGATTGATTTTAGAACATGTTCTGACATAATATTGATTGATCTAATCAAACATTGCTTCAAACTGATGATACTCGATAAATTCCCCTTTTAGCATCACTCAACATAACAGGTAATTTAATCAAATATGGATATTGGTCTGTTGTAACAATGTTTTCCCAGGGGTCACCAATATATCTATTTGTACAAACGGCATCAATAGCACGTCTGTTTTTTTATGCGAAATTAATTAATGATGGGAACTGATCGGTGGGATTCACGGAAAATGATCAGAACATCCCATTAAAAGCTTAGGAAATACTTTGGAATGTTGTTTACCATGTAACTAAGGTGAAAATGTTGTTCAGATGAAACTAATTAAGATATCTGTTTCCTGTGTATGAAGATATATGAGTCGTCCAAGTTGCAATGTAAGGTGAAATTAAAGTCAAAACATAATTCAATACAGAATCAATTCTATATTTATCTGTTTATTTAATAACTATTGAATCAATCATTGAAACACGAGGGCCAAGAGGGCCCTAGATCGCTCGCCTGACCCATTAAACTCATCCGAGCAATTACTGGCACAGGCATCCTGACCAAGATTGATGACCATTGTGTCAAAAAATGTGACCACTAGAGTGTTAACAAGGTTTTTTCTATATTTGGGCAGTGTGACTTAGTTTGTGACCCCAGGTGACCCGTATTTGAACTTTGCCTAGAAATCATCAAAACAAACTTGTAGACCAATTTCAATGATATTTGGAAAACAACAGTAGCCATGAGAGAGTTAACAAGAATTTTCTATTTTTAGCTAACGTGACCTAGTTTTTCATCAGAGATGACCAATGTTCATACTCATACCAGCAATTAACTAGATAAGCATCCTGATCAATCAAGTTTGATGACAATTGAGTCAAAAATATGACCACTAGAGTGTTAACAAGGTTTTTCCATATTTAGGGAGTGGGACCTAGTTTTTGACCCTAGGTGACCCATATTGAAACTTGACCTAGAAATCATCGCAAACAAACTTTCAGACTAATTTCCAGGATATTTGGATCAAAACAGTAGCCAGTAGTGTCAACAAGATTTTCTTTTTTTAGCTCCTGTGACCTAGTTTTTCATCAGAGATGACCCATGTTCGAACTCAGCCATGTCCTAGACAAGCATCCTGACAAAGTTTGATGATGATTGAGGCAAAAATATTACCACTAGAGTGTGAAAAGGTTTTTCCATATTTCAGCGGTGTGACCAAGTTTTTGATCAAAGGTGACCCATATCCAAACTTGACCTAGAAATCATCAAAACAAACTTTCAAACCAATTTCCTGGATATTTGAATCAAAACAGTAGCCACTAGAGTGTTAACAAGATTTTTCTATTTTTAGCTCCTGTGACCTAGTTTTTCATACGAGATGACACATGTTCGAACTCATCTCAGCCATGTCCTAGACAAGCATCCTGACAAAGTTTGATGATGATTGAGGCAAACATATGACCACTAGAGAGTTAAAGAAAAAATGTGGACGGACAACGGACATTCAACTATCCTTAAAGCTCACCCTGAGCTAGCTCAGGTGAGCTAAAAATTATATCAAGAACTACTAGTATTTATCACAGTTAAGACAATTCTTACATTGTTAAAGAATAACTATCAAAATCAAAACAGTAGTCAATGATTTTATGTAATTTTCTGATTTTATACAAAATGTCACCAAGATCCCTTAACATGGGCAAAGAATCCTGTAGCCGAACTATAATTTGTGTTACCATATATGGTAAATAAATAATTAACATATGGTTTTGGCAAAGTTAGTCATGCTTTAATTTTTGTATGCCCTGCAGATTCCAAACTTTAAAAAAAAAAGAAAAAAATAATTCTATGTTCAATTTTATATGAAAATCAATGGCCAAATTTCTTGTTATTCTAGTCCTGCAACATGTTCATTATCACTTGGTAAGTGAACTATCCAATATAATTCAATAATTCAACAAGTTTGCAATGAAGATGATGCAATAAAGATGATGTATATTTCATAATCATAAATAAATCAATCGCCATAAAGATGATGTATATTTCATAATCATAAATAAATCAATCGCCCGTATTTCCAATCAATCTAAAAATCAATAAAGAATTAAAAATCGCTATTGATAGATTAACATCAAGTATCATATGGAGGTAATCCGAACATTTCAGGCTTGAACTCTTCCAGAGAGTCTATGATAAGTTCCGTTTTTCCCTCCAGTAATGTTTTGTCCTGCTCTGCATGGGGAACCCAAACACATGGCATGCCAGCTGCATGTGCGGCCTCAACACCATTCATAGCATCTTCAAACACCAATATCTGAATCAGTTAAAAAAATACTTGTAAATATAACAAGAGCCAATGTCAGGCGGGGAGGGGGGGGCAACACTATTTTTTTATTACTTTTTCAAAAAAGCAAAAAAATAAAATAAAAAAAATGTTTAAAAAATGTTTCAGTCAATTATAGCATAAATCAGTAAAAAAAATTCAATAATTAACCTTTAAGGTCAAGGTCATAAATGAGAGGTTTGATATACATGTACATGTAGGTCTCATCCTAATAAATGTCGTTTCTTAAAAAGTTATAGCCGGTTACAGCAAAAAATGGAAAATTTCAATAATTTGACCATCAGGGTCAAGGTCATATATGAGTGAAGGTCAAGGTCTGTCTGGTTAACTTGAATTTCACCTAATACATTTATAATGATTTACCTCTCTTCACAAGTTTATGTATTTCAACATGGTTTGAAAGCTTTGAAGGAGACAGTTTAGAGAATACAAATTTATTCAAAATATTGATTCTATATTTAATTCATGAAAATATGTTTCAAAACATAGATCAATCCTGCAAAATATTGACATCATTTATTATATATTTATATCTTGATTTAAAATGAAATGTTTAAGTTTAACTATTGAAACTAATACTGTAAACACAGGCCAATAATTAATAGGTTAGTAACCATAACCGATAATTTAAAACGTATTTTGGCCACAAGTATCCTGTTTCAAAAATGTTTTAAATATTTGGAGTGGCAAATATGTATCAAGGAAAGGCAAATTAAGAGTGGGAATCATATCATTACAAGAGCAATCTTAATTTTCTGCCAATATAAAGTTTTGCATATTATATTGTATCTTATATTGACAAACATTTCCTTTAGATAAAGGGAGACAAATCATGAAGTTTCTCAACTAATGAACTGAAAATGAATGGCATGAAACTATAGTACTGGGGTTAACAAGTATGATAAAAGTTGACATATTTCCGTAAAGTTATGGTCTTGTATTTTGAACTTTGAACTATAAAGGGAGATAAATCCTTAAAATATTAAAGCAAAGTACAGTACACAGACAAATCAAAAGAAATAAAATCTGATTAAAAAAATCACTTACTCTCTTTCATGTAAAATAACAACACTCTCTGAATCTTAGAACTTTGATTTGAAAAGAAAGATTATTTCTATATGACATAGAATCGTCTGTGTGGCTAATGGAACATTTAAAATATTTGTAAAACTATTTGAAGAGTAAAATTTGTTTTAATTATACTCATTTCTAGTACTTGGTTTTAAATATTATAATATCAACCAAGTTAAGCTCCCACATCCCTCTCTATGCATGATTATTCCAAGCACCAGGGTAGAACCTGACAAACTCAGTAGTTCCCTATGCCATGATAATTCAGGATTCAAACTCATAGTAATAAACATAAAAAGTTTTGAAAAAACATACATATCAATTTCAGACTATTTGTGAAATGAGTTCTTGCAACCTATAAATTAAACCCTTTTTGACTCCACACCCTAAAACTAGTACTAACTGGTTTTATATCAACCTACATTAAACCCTTTTGACTTTGCATCCTAAAACTAGTCAAAACTGGTTTCATATCAACCTACATGTACATTAAAGCTTTTTGACTTTGCATCCTGACACTAGTCAAAACTGGTTTTATCAGGAAACATGGTCATGACCAGTGTAAAACTTAAAATAACAATCCAATGGTTTCACAGACAGACACCTTAACTACAAGGCCATGGCATAAAAAGTACCAGTAAATACCTTTGCATGGTCAGGACTGTCATCAAACCTTATGGCCCCTACTTCAAAAGCATCTGGGTGTGGTTTACCATGCTTGACGTCTGGATCATCACCACATAGTACATGATGGTGGAACAGTGAGAAAAAATCCTTGTGGTTCACAGTCTTCAGCTCAAAACTGTGTGTATTAGACCCCGTCACTACTGCTATAGGCACACTGTGCTTGTGTAGGTGTCTGACTAGTTTTTCAGCTCCTGAAGTTATTAAACAATTTATGTGAGTACCTACTGCTTGTGTAGATGCTAGACTAGTTTGTTTGGGTTTTACGTCGCACCAACACAGTGAAGGTCATACAGCGACTTTCCAGCTTTATTGCTGGAGGAAGACCTCAGATGCCCTTCTGTACATTATTTCAGGCATGAACAGGCACCTGAGTAGAACCACCGATGTTCCTTAAGCTAGCTGGATAGCTTCCACACAAGAAAGAATCCAAAGTCCCTGTTGGGATTCAAACCCACAGCGGTGAGGGGCAAGTGGTTTTAAGTCAACATCTGTGACCATGTGAGACTAGTATTTCAGCTCCTAAAGTTATAAGACAATGTAACTACAGCTATAGGCACAATATTGTGTAGATGCCAGAAAAGATTTTCAGCTTGAACCTAAACTTATAAGATAACTTAAAATACTGAATGTTCATAACTATTACTCTCAATGGCCAATCATAACATTTAAATTATCAATTCTTAATTCATGATTTATAATTCACTTAGAGGCCTTCCGCTTTTATATTCTGTTGGGAAAACAATTCTGTTTGAAACAAAGTAAGCATTTCAGTAATCTTATCTTGGAAAAGTGAATCTTGTCACTGTTAAACCTTCTTCAAAACAGAGTTTAAAGAGCTATTTATATTGCGTCAGTGACGTTTGTGTCTTAAAAACAGAAGATTCGGAAACAAATCATCTGCTAAATGAGAGCAGACAGTAGATCAGGGGTATCAAGGGATTTAAGTATTTTATCATCCCAAGATTTCAATTTCCATCTAACTTCTTTTGATTTGACAATTATATGAGAAGAGTTGTATAAAAATAGCATAAAGACTAGCCAGGTTAAAATGGCTATGTAAATATGATTTATCAATACAAAATTTTCTATCAATGACAGCCCTTGGCCTAGCTGATATTGACTTGTTTAATCTCAGCTAACACATACCTGGTAGGAATGGTACTGAAGGAAAGAGCCTATCATATTCTTTATGAATCTTTATTAGGTACTCATCAACTGTCATCGGAAGTTCCAGCATATCTGCAAGTATACAGCAATTGTAAAATATATGTACAGTGATCAAATAAAATATCTGAGTTTGTGTGTGTATTTGAGTTTATTTAAACTCTCCACTGGGCAATGGGCCAGTCATACAGGGTAGTATTAGTCATTTTAGATTTTGGAGGATAGTGCAAGACACAGAAAGATGCCCTAATAACAGAAGCTTCTACTGGTTCTTTAGAGTTTAAGCATTTTACAGCAAAATCTGAGTATTATCAGTGAAAGAGGACCACAAGTATATTTTATGTACGGTACATGTACAATACAGTGTTTATTCTAGGATTCGAAAAACGGGGGATTTGTATTGAAAAATGAGAATTTATTAAATTTGTTGATCTTTTACCTTCTATGTCTATGTAAAATTTTCCCCCTTCCTCTCAAAAAATGGGGGTGAATTCTCAAAAATAGGGGTGAATCCCTCAATCGCCCCTCCTAGAATAGACACTGCCTATAATTTATAAAACCACATAGTTTCCTACATTGCAGCTTTCTTTTACTCATATGAAATATCTAAACATACTTAGGTAAGGGACTAATGATTTGATGTCTGAGAAATATACATATTAAAACATAGTAAAACATATCTCATTAAAGCCTTTTTAAGGAAAAAGTGAAGTGATGAATTTTAATGTTTGCTGAGAAAAGAAACCTACCAACAATCATTTTGGCTGACACTGCTTCTTTTTTCCCCATGATCTGTTGCTTTATTTCCCATGTGTATTTTTTGCCAAATTCATCACAAATGTTTTGAGTAGCTTCTGTATACAATCTCTCTGTATCTGTAAAAAACAATAATATATTAACCCAGACGGCCCCGAAAATGCTTAATTTAGTATTTTCTTTGTTCAGTGGTTGTAAGTTACTTTTTTATCAACAATAAGTGCATGTTTATTTTAAAATTAAGTAAATACATTCATTACAACCTCCGTAAATGGTGATATTTTAATAATTTAATGTCTATTTCAAGAATGTTGACGTTGAAATTTGGGGGTCAAGAAAGCAATGCCTGACCTCATATATCAGCTATAATCATTTGCAGACTGAATAATAGAATATCCAAAACTTCACCATTTGTTGCTGACATATTGTATATCATGTTAAAAATCAAAACACCCAAGCTTTTATCTGAATTAAATCACGTCATGTACATATCTGTCCAGACACATGGTACTGTAGTGTAGACAATTTAGATAATTTTGATACCCTCCTTGTCGAGCCTCAGATATAAGTGTCAATAAAATCAGAAATAAACAAACTAGTTTATTAGTTAGGAGAAGAACCTAGCTGAACTGTGTCAAATTTTTGGTCTCTAGGTTAAAAATTATGAAATCTGTACGGAAAAATGTTCCAAAAGTGTCCGGTTGATGGTCTCCAACCAGTATATGTATATTTTGTGATGTATTGATGAAATTTCAGGTTCCTGTGCAATGATCAAACATAAAAAATGGCAACATGTTGTTTGGATGAACAAGCACTTTTCTCCAGTTCGAGAATAGCCTATAATTTATTTCGACAGTTTGAAAGCCTGTTAAACAGTTAAATATTCACATTTACTTTTTAAAAAGACCCAATACATTTTCTATACTCCTAAGCAACACTATCTACATTTGAACAAAAGTCTGAAAATACAAGCAATATTGAATTAACAATAACCAGATAACACTAACAGTTCCCAAACTCTACAAATATCCAGAATAATTTTGTCCGATTCACTCACACTATATCGCGAAAATATATTGCATTTAAATTTTACGGCGGTTATGTCAATATCTGGTATTAACCAATGTGGGGAAATAATGTTCACCTAGAAGAAGACCATCCATATCAAATATAACATGTGTCACTGTTTTCTTCTCCATATCTAGGAATGGCTACAATATTTTTTTGATTTTGTATGATGCAATGTAAGAACAAGGCAAGCGTGTGATTTGAAAAACAACACGAAATTGGGGTTAGAAAACACCAAATTATAACATACTTTGTGACATCGAAAAGAAAGTTCATTTAAGTTTTCAAAAGCAAAGATATTTTAGGTGTGGAGCTCAAAACACCTTTAAAATCCAAATAAAATGTATATTTGTCAATCCCAGCACACGTACTGATCATCATATTTATATAGGTGTTCGATAGGTCACTACCCCGGCCCCCTTTCACCCACGTACTCTACAACCCTCCTACCTCTCAAAACCATGTAAACTGCAGTGTTTTTTCATTTGAAACATGTTTTAATATTTGGTATATGCTTTTAATTCAATTTCCTTCATTTCCCACAAAAAATAAAAAAAAAATGATACAAATATATTTATACTAATTATATATGTATCATTTTATATTTATACTTTTCCGTCAAAATTTGTCCATATATAGATCTAGTTGTTTGTCAGAAAGTTCTAGCTATCTAAGTTTGTAATATGAAAAAGGCAAAGCCTCAAAGCGAGCTCGATGTACTTTTTACGTGAAATAGTATGAAATAATCGCTCATTTTTATTTCAAATGCAGTAACGAGTGCGTGTGGCGTCACACGTACTGTGTTAAAAACTTTGTTTATTTTATTTCACTCTATAATTTTTCAAGCGAAATAAAGATTATTTAAAGTGAAATAAATGTAAAACTTAAAACGTTTGCGACATTAAAATAGCGTACTTGATTTGTTTGTTTTGCACGTGCTGTTTGGCGCTACATTGTGACGTCACGTAAACAATACTTTAAACGTCTGTACAGCGTTAACGACTGAATAAAAGATATTGGTGTTCGGATTCATTTTCTTAGTTAGACCATTTTCTTTCATTCTAGATAGTTTTCACAACAAAATTCGACAAAAAATTGTTTTTATTTATCAGATTTCAAACAAAATGGCGCCTTCGATTTTCATTTTTTATACACAGCTTCCGTTATTCTGGTTCCCTGTCCAATTATGGTTCCCATAGACGTGCGCGGGTGACCAGTCTACACATCCGTTTTCAGTCAGAATTCCTCAGTTTTTATCGTTATCTTTTAATTCGAAAGGTTGCGATGTGTCCAATTCGGTACTTTGGACGAAAGTTTTCAAAACCATCACTTTGCAGGTACTCGCGTTACCGTAAAGCTCGCTTTGCGAGCAGGCCCTTCGGGCCAGCTCGTCGAGCTCGCTATAAAAATATTGCAATATGTAACTAAGAAACTATTCGAAAAAACTAAAGTTATTTGTCTCCATTCTTAAATTACTCACAGATTTTAGAACGATACCACGGGTTTTATGAATACATGTATACCGGAAATAAATGATTCATCGTCTGCTTCTGGTTGATAAACAACAACAACAACAACAACAAAAAGAACAACAAAACAAACCACAACAACAATCCCCCTCAAAAAAAAAGAGAGAAAAAGGGAGATAACAACAACAACAAAACAAACAAACAACAACTACAAAAACAAAAAATATTTTAAGAATTATAGCGCGGCATTTTTTTCTGTCAAAATATGTAGAAACTGTAGATTAATTTTGAAATGTCATAATTTTATTTAACGAGATAACAAAAATTATTTTATAAGTCCCGTGGCTACAGTTTAATTTGTATGTACACATTGTTATCTAACTAACACGATTATGATCATCAAAAAATCCAAAGATAATTCTTACGCACATATTCCCATCATTCTGATTGTCCATTATAAACCCATTTTCTTCTTAATTTATTAATATATTATTTATCTAAACCTAAATAATTAGTGATAGCACGAAAAGAGGGATGCATATTAAAGCCACGCCTCCAGATTTATGCTAATTTTCAAAATGTGGAAAATTTTGAAAATGTGTTTAAAAGTATTATTTACTGAAATAACCAAAAAAAAAAGCAATTTAAACATTATCAATGACTCTTACAACCTACGTTAATTACTAAAAAGAAGACAAAATATGCAAAATAGCCCTTACTGCGTTAGTAACGCAGTAGAAATATAGTTATTAATACTGGAAAATCGGTCATTAATCACACATAACATGTAAATTATTACTAGAACTTTGAATCTTTATACTTTTCCTAAAATCTAAGTAGGCCTACATTTTTCTCAGGTTTGATTTTATCGAAATATTTTTGTACATCTGGAGGCGTGCAGCTTTAAGTGGTAATTTGATTTTTCAAGTTTTTAATCAGATTTTGAAAATAGATTTTAGCACTAAGTGCATCATTAAGTGTATGATAAGAAAATAATTATATTTAAATAATCATTAAGAATTTATAATAAAACAATACTAAAGAAAATATATTTAAAGAATCATTAAGAATTTATATAGTATAAGAATCTTAAAGAAAATATATTTAAAGTATCCATTAGAATTTATAGTAAAAGAATCACAAAGGAATCATATTGAAAGAATCATTTAGAATTAGTAGTAAAAGAATCATAAAGAAAATATATTTAAATAATCACCAAGTATACAATGCATTGTGAAAGAATAATGATTAAGAATATAAAGGAAAAGAAAAATGTCAGTATATAGAAATTATTGATAAGCACAGGGTCCTCGTTTTTAATCTGTTTGATTCATTATGTAATAATAAAGAGAGAATGACACTTTGTTGTATCTTTATCAATCATGTGAGTGTGGTCAGACTTTAATATATATATTCTGTCTGGTTCCCTGCATAATATAGCAGTATCACGAGAAGATAATCCATATGTGTTACCCAAGCGATTATTGTGAACGCTATAAATAACCGTCCTGGATTTTAACTGATTAAGATACAAATATAAATATAGCTGAAACGGTAGTAAAATAGTTTAACAAACAGACTCTGTTAACGCGGTAAGTACTTTTTATGTTTGAAGACGTATTTTTATATGTATTTGTATTATGTTTTATATGCTTATTGAATACAAACTATTAATGTGCTTACCCAAAATATGTTTAATCTTGTTATTCATGCAATATAAAAAAGAAAAAACACATCTGAATTTTTGTTACATTGTCTTTAAATTCAAATTTTTTTGATAAATAGATATTATATTGCATGCATAACAAGATTATACATATTTAAGAACACATTATTAATGCGACTAGCACCTTTGATTGAATAAGTATATTGTGCCTATAAAGTTTTATAAGAAAATGGTGTTAAATTGGCATATTTTAAAAATGTTTGATAGTGTTTGACATCTTGACTATTTATTCGTACACATGGAACTGAATGTGTATACATGTATCTGATACAGACGCTGTCATGACTTAAATTAGTTCTTCACTTTCGCATCTATATATAAAAGCTGCATGTCTCCACATGAAACAAACTATTTCAAGAAAATCAGACTTGAGAAAATTGTAATAAGATTTTTAGAAAAGAAAAAAAAGATCCGTGATTCAGGTAATAATGTACATGTTTTATGCGATTAATGACTGATTTTGCAACATTTATAACCATATGGCTACTGCGTGACTCACGCAGTAAGGGCTATTTTTGCATATTTTGACTCCATTTTGGTAATTAACGTCGATTGTAAATGTCGACTGCAATGTGTAAATTACTCTCTTTGTTCACGTCACAATATTTTACTTTTAAATATATATTTTCAAAAATTCAATGAAAAATAGCATGAATTTGGAAGCATGTATTAAAATGTCCAATAAGGACCATCATTAAAGTTAAAAGCATTTAAACAACCATATGAGACTGGAAAATCGAATTGACGAAAAAGAAAAAAAACAACTAGATAGTAAACAATTAAAAACAAGGCAAATATTTTATGCCCACTCTGATGTTCTGACGTTCCATTACCGTAGTTTCGTTATGTCAACATTTTATCATCTTAACTGATTTGCTTCATTGATTTTTATTTTACAAAGACGTATAGTGATGGTCCATGCGGGACACCGTACCTTCAATAAGAATGTTTCATAACCTTAATTGAAGATTCAATACTAATTAAGTCTTTAAATACTGATTTACTCATGGTTGATAAGACTTTATACTCATACAGCTGTTTTATCTGAAATCTTTAAACTTAAGTAAAGCATATATTGAATTGTACAAAATAGATGTATACTCTTTTATTTTCCCAAAACACCAAGCTGTAATGATTTGTTAGCTTATATGCGGCCAAGTTACCTTTTTCTGTATGTACACTTACAAAATATTTTTCAGAATATGATGGAAAAAAGGATTTCGTTGATCACGGTACTAATGTCACTGATACTGTGCAAGACATTCGGGCACACTCAAGCCAGACATATTGTGTTTATCGTAGCTGACGATCTCGGATGGAATGACGTTGGTTTCCATAATCCAGATATGATAACCCCAAATATTGACAAGCTTGCTAGACAAGGAGTAATACTGAACAGTTCGTACGTTCAACCAGTATGCTCTCCTTCTCGTCACTCCTGGATGACTGGAATTTATCCATTCAAAGCCGGTTTACAGCACGGGGCTATTTTACCACAACAGGCAGTATGCTCCCCTCTCTCTATGCAATTCTTTCCTGAGAGGCTACAAGAACTAGGGTACTCCACACACATGATTGGCAAGTGGCACCTGGGATTTTGCAATACGGAATGCACGCCTACAAGACGAGGATTTGAATCGTATTTAGGATATTACAATGGTATGGAGGACTTTTACAATAAAACAATAATTAATGGTGTTGATTACAACGACGGTTTAAAGGCCATACCGGCAGACGATAGATACTCAACTTACGCTTATGCAGATAGAGCAAAGGAGATTATAGATAACCACAATCAAACTAAACAACTGTTCCTTTACCTTCCATTCCAGTCAGTGCATATACCGATTGAAGTTCCTAAGCGATTTGAGGATATGTACCAACACATCGCCAATGATGACAGAAGAAAGTACTCAGGCATGGTGTCTGCTATGGATGAAGCCATTGGTAATGTGACACAAGCTTTAACTGACAAGGGAATGATAGACGATACTTTGTTTATATTTACGGCTGACAACGGTGGTTGGCCCGGTCACGGTGGTAACAATTACCCTTTGAGAGGTGGTAAAATCACAATTTTTGAAGGGGGAACGAGGGCTGCAGCATTTGTCTCTGGGTCTGGAATCGAGAAGAAAGGGTCCACATATGAAGGACTAATACACGCAGTTGACTGGCACCCAACCATTCTTTCAGCCGCGGGTAGTTCTAATGATGAAACAATCAACAATATTGATGGTCTTGATCAATGGAAAGCGATTAGCACAGGCGCTGAATCGGCTAGGAATGAGTTCGTTTATAACTTGGATGACTCATTGGATCCAGTAACTGGTCATGCTGCCATACGAGTAGGCGACTTTAAGCTGATATCCGGATATCCGGGACCCTATCGGGACTGGTACAAACCGGAACAAGAAATCAAAGGCAGCATTGGCGTCTCAGCTCAACCATATGACTATTCTGCGATAGTTTATGAAGATCTGAGCAAATCGAATGGTATATGGTCAGGAGATGGTTTATATAATTTGAGAGATGATCCAACAGAGCATAATGACCTCTCTAAACAATTCCCAGATGTTGTTAAAAAACTCAGAGCTAAACTAGACGAGTACAGGAAGGCATATGTAAAACCAAATTTTCCAAAAAATGACGACAAATCTGATCCAAAATATTACGATGGTCATTGGGCACCCGGATGGTGTTAAATGTTTGCTTATGTATGTTTTAGAACTCTTGAAAATCTGGCATAAGTTATCAGTTTACGTGTTTTATGTATCATTTTGACAAAGAGCAACATAAACTATGACAATTCAACTTTCAGGAAATATATACATGTATATTTTCAGTTGGCTGAAGCTATTCATATAATTAGAAGTAAATTCAAATAATATGCTTATTATCATGGTGTAAAATACATTGCATATTCTATTGCTCAATAACATTATATACTGTCTAAATCGTATTTTTTAAACGTTATTTAAGTTATACATTGAAAATAATTTGAAATCCTGTCATGAAAATATATAATAAATTCAAGTACACGTACACGAAAATACAGGTAAAAAACAGTAAAAATAACAACATACATGTACTAGTAGTACTGTAAAATAACTGTTTATTTTAATAAACCTGTCTTAGTTATTGTCTTGTGTTAAACTTATATTTTACTGAGTTCATTTTTTTCTTTTTGTAATAATATATACCAGTCATTTTATATTTTATGTACATATTATGTCCCTTACATGCTATTTAAATAATTTCGATATTCTAAATGTTAAAATGTTTCAAAAGCCATTTGTTTGTCTTCATTTAAATAATTTATTATTGCTCATTCAATGCAAATGAAGTAATTCTGGATAATTATTTTTGGGAATTTTGCTATTTCATATAGATGTAGTGGTGAAGTGATGTATCCCCCGTAAGGGGTATAATACTATTTACGCTAACTTCACATATAAAAATTGAAATGTATTTAATCACAAGTTCAGGTTGTTTTGTGAATTGTTAAGTTTTTTTTCCGGTAAAACCATACAGTAATTGTTTAATTATAATACATTTTATTAAGGAATTATTGCATAAAATGTGCACCTTAAACTAAAATATAACATGACTTTTAGGACTGTTAAATGCCATTGTTATATGTCACCATTGGCCTATATTTATTTATAAAATGATTGACACCCATGGGTTTGTAACCTTTTGTGAATAAAGATATTATTTTTATAATATGCTATGCATGTTCAATGTTTTTATACTGTTTAAATGCCCAATAGATTTATGTACTCCTAGAAATGTTCGCGAATACAATATTTCGCGTTTTTCACAACGTCGGCATTTTCGCGGAGACAAACTTTCACGGATATGTAGTAACCGCGACTTCCGCGAATGTTAAGTCGCTACGGCCTAACTTACAGCTTTTGGAGTATCAGAGTTTTTCTTTACTATATACTGGTACATGCCACACATCACAGTAAAGGTAAAAATGTTTCACGGTGTGTTTAGAGTGGTCAGTTTGTTACCTCTGCATCATGTTACATCTGTCAATGTGGCTCTGGAAAAATGTCTGCTAATTAATGCACATAAACTGTATGTGGAGGCAGAAAAGAATGTTCCCTAACAAAAAAAAATCATCTGCTTTTTTCAAAAGGTAAAGCTATAATTTAACGCATGATGCCATATTTTTTAGATTACAAACATTATCTAAGCTTAAAAGCCTGCTGGTGGCAACAAGTTCCATCCATGCAACCATGCAGTGCAGACCGAGATCAGCTGGCACCGTACGTGTTTACAATACATGGTCTGCACTGCTCGCTTCGCTTTACAGTCAGGTTATTTTATGAAAATTGTCCTAAAATGATGAATGGTTTCATCCAGATAGTAAGATGGACAGTGTCCATTTAAGTTATTAAGCGTTCATTTATATATTTTAGCATGTATAAACCAAACACAAAGAAATATTCTACCGAGTGTGGACAGCCAAAAGTAGCTTAAACTCTTTTTTTAAAATCCACAACATGAGCGTTATAGGAAGATCCTAGTAAAAATGTCATGAATTACCATATACAAATGTATACAGTTAATTTCGAAACAAAAACTTTGTTGTTAATATTAAACGATACTTTTCAAAAGAATGCCGTAATATACATGTATTATTATCTTAGAATAAGGTTTGCTGTCAGGCATACGCTGGAAAGATTATATGGAAATGCCAAATGCCAGGATAAACCCGAGATACGGCTTCCTGCATTATTTCAAGCACAAGCGGGTGCTAGAATAGAACCACCGACCATCAGTAAGCTGGCTTATGGACAGGAAGTTAGTTTATGAAGAAGACTCTAGTTTATGATATTTAAAAAAAATGTAGTAGACGGGTAGTGTATCAGAAGTTGGTCGAGTTTATTAGAGGAAATGGCACGAGCAGAGTTTTCAAATAGATGAAATACCCTAGCATATATTTTTGGAGTTTGGAGAAAACAAATATAAGATAAATACTATTAAATGTTTTATCTTCACCTTAAGCGTGCTCTCATAACATCAAATGTATTAACAAGGGTGAAAACGTATCAAAAAACGGAGAAAAAAAATCGGAGGAAAAAATAAATGCCCATTTATAAATTAAGAACAATTTCGTTTTATTTCTCTGAATCACTGTTTTTGGTTAAAATATATATATATATTCATAAAACAGACAGAAAAAAATATAGTGATGAAAATTTTCTTTTAAAATTATAACATTTAAAACATTGTAGCACTCTGAACACAATACAATTAAACATTGTAACAATGAACATACATATAGTAAACAAAAATAATCATTTGTATTTATACGTAATTAAAATATGATATACAGAATCAATGACAACAATAATTATCAATAACATATAAGCTCACTTCATTAACATATATTAAAAAATGACAAACAATTGATGTTATTACCCGAAGTACATTCTACAGTTCAAGTGATATATAGAGAAACACGGAATCTCTAAAGAACGCCGAAAACGGCAAAATAACAATTGTTGATGGTATTGAAATAATATATGAATAATGATTTAAAACGGAAAATAAGCAAAGTTTTGTATGCCATCAGCTGGTTTTATAAAATAAACTCAAAAGAGATTGACTAGTAAACTTAAACAATAGAAATATTTTTTATCTAGCAAGAAGTAAAAATGTATTTGTTGTGTAGTATTTCTAATTTCTATAAGCATATTCTATGCAAATGTAAGCTTTTCAAAATGCTTTTTAAATATAAAAGCCATAGTTTCTTACTAAATCTAAAACAAAAGCGATCGTTATATATTGTATATATCATTTCGTCTATATTTCTATGTTTTCTTTGCAAATCGGATAACACGTACAGTGAAACCTGTCTGAGTAGATACGTCATGTGATAGTCACAATATCTATTCGTTACATTCATTAAACGTGCTAAATTTTAAACCGATGGCATTGTTTTTAACGCTTTGCCTGCTAGCGGCAATTAAACCTGCATTAGCCAAAGAAGTAAACATCTCTTTCTGTTCTGGGATGGTCCTTATATCAATATTGTTTGTACTGTTACACTATTTATGAAGACTAAATGAACAAGACAAAAATTAAAAATGACATTCAAAAACCTTTGGCATTTTCGACACAGGCACTAAAACGTTATTTCCCCTTTATTGACAAAAAAAATCTTGAATTTAAAATTAGGAAAAATTAGGGGCTAAATAACTCAAAAAATTAAAAATTTTTAACAAATAATATGACATTACAAACATTAAAAACAAGCACGCGCAGATGGTTGTAAAATAGTATCTTTAAAAACCGACAACATTGCAAATGAAACTATTGCAAACTCGACAAAGTTCATACCTACAAAATATCTCTGTAGTACCACCCAATTCAGGAGTCAGCATTACAATACAAGTTGTCCCTAATTCTGTTACTGTGTACTTTTTATCGTTCCGTAAAATTTATTAATGAATAACAATCTACCATTGTATATAAAAGAAACGGGATATAGGTTAAACACAATACAAACATGTAAACCGTTTATCCTCAAAATTTACATTCGTATAAAAGAAAGTGTTTGTATATATAAGTAATAATATATTTTATAAATAAATTTGAGCCATTTTGCCCTGAACACTAATCGCATTTGCTTGTAAAATCTCCAATACAAACTGTAAAGTTTAATAGCAAAATCAGTAATGCCAGCAACAGCACTACAGATACACTCACGATAATCTTCTCTCTCTGAAAAGATAAAACAATGTTTGTCACTTGTTTATCTTTCTAGAATTTATCTACATTAATAATCAGGATTAATTTTAATAATAAAGCAAACTCGACAAAATTGGTATATGTCCAAATATTACATAAAAATACACTTAACGAAACTTATAAGTACTCCGATTTCAAACTTGCAGGAAAACTCCGGTTTTCAAAATATATACCAAAGCAATGTTGAAAATGTGTACTGACTCTACTTTCCGACTGCATGAATGATTTTAAAACAAAATCAATCATCCGAAACGCAATATGGCTGTCACATGCAAAAACCCGAAAATGGGCACGTGCATTTCGTGCAAGATGCCCACATTGTGTATTTTGATGCAAATTGTTAGTTTATTGATGTGCCTAACATAAAAACACAAAATAGCCCGAATGTCGCTGCAACAAAGAGGCATTGCAATTGGGCTATTACAGGGCGGCGCATCGCATGCAGAGGTATGAATTGACTAAACTTGAAGGTATTTGATTTTTTTTACAATGGTGATCTCAGTTACTGATTTTCTGTTAAGTTTGAGTTATTGTAAAATGCATTTACTATTATAAAATGATATTACTATGATTAAAGTTTATACAGTATCGACTTAGACTAGTTATAGTAATTCTAACACAATATAATAAAAAAATGGTCGGAGTACTTATAAGTTTCGTTAAGTGTATGTATTATAGGTATCAACTGCGTTTGGTAAATTGGACAAGGCAGTATCAATAGACATATATATTGCTCACTTACGAGTATGAACGACGTGCGAAACTTATGAGAGTCCATTGATTTATAACGACGGTTCTGCAGCAAGATAAAGGTAAAATAGATTTTAAAAGGCTATGTGCTGTCTGTGCATTGTGAACGTTGGTGATATGCATTGGTTTCACTAGTTAAATTCATTGACATACAATATGTTTATTTAAATATTTTGAATTCGTCATCCACAACTTTAATCATAGTAAGATATAAAACATGTTAGATGTGTGAGGTATTGTCAACAGGGTTACCTTTGTAAGTCTGCGACATTTTCGTTTTGGCTGTTCCTGAAATAATCACAAGAAAAAAGCATTTATTTATTGTCTTTAGCCATAAATATAATCCTACTTCAATCAAAAGTAATTACTTATTGATTAGACTGCCTTTGTCAGACGTGTAGAGCCATATTTAACTAACTTTCTGGTAATTTTTTAAACAACGAAAACAAGAACATGCAACTACTTAAGATCATTTGTCAGTGTGGACATTTGACTTTGAGAAAGAGGGATAATTAATGTTTGTCCACTCGACTTTATATTTAGATATTTTAGGGAAAGAATTGTGTGTGTTGATATATCAAATCAATCTATCATTAGAAGATGGTCCATCAACCCCTACCTGTTTTGATGGTTCGTATAGAAAAGATGTATCTGCTGCAGTTGATGCAGCAGGTGACTTTGTGGGGTCGCTTCTTACCTGGAAAGATAAAAACAGACGTGAACAATAACTAATGCTACCCATTCTAGTTTATATCACGAGCCCTGTTTTCATTTACATCAGACGACAAACTATTGCAATTCAAATATGGCACCGTATACAAAATAACAAATATTGACGTCGTCCGCATGATTAAATAACGGGAACGTTAAAAAATTAAAAACATATCTGATTTTTGATTAACCTATTGCCATCGATACTTAATCCAAACCAGTTATGTTTCTAGCAAAGTGTTTGTAAAATGGTATATTTCAAATAATGATAATTTCAAGTACATGTATATCCAAATAATAATAATAATAATAATAATAATAATAATAATAATAATAATAATAATAATAATAATAATAATAATGATAATAATAATAATTCGTAACAATGATAAAAAGTATCAATAAATAGAACAGATATATTTACCGACGATGAGTACACAAATGTGGAATCAGTTGGCGTAGGGGAACCTGCTGGATTACTCACAATCTAAAACAGAGGAAGAAGATCTATATTACCATTTCACATTTTATTTCAAATTCTTACAACAACAACAAAAAAACTGATACAAAAATATGAAATTACCGTATCATTTATTTCGATACTAAATTTCACCAGAAATATTTTAAATCAATCATTAGGTGCTTGTTTGTATGTATGAACACTATTGGCTAATTGATTAAAGGAGGCTTGATTTAATAAAAAATTCGCAATATATAATGCATATTTGTTTGATTTTATGACTTAATTAGGTAGTTCTTTTTTACAAATGCATTACGTTTTTCGTACAAAACATACCAGTTTTAAATGGAAACATAATACGGTCCGAATGTACAATATCGGGAATGGCAGGTAAGCCACAGCTCTACCTTTATACATACTAGTACATAAAAAAATTAGTCTACCTCAATGTTAAGGTCCTGTGATTTGGAACTAATTCTTACGATCGTCTGCTGTTGCTGTTCAGGCTGTCAAGAATTCAAAACAAAACATTACAAAGGCTGTCAAAAATGATCGTTTGTAAAATGCAAAAAATATAGCAATACAGAGACTTGTTCTCTAAAGTAAAATATAGTGAATTTACAGTGACTATTTTCCAACTAGTATTGAATAATCAGTCCGAATTACATATCCTAATGTTTTATTTAGACCAAAGGCGAAGTTTAGAAACTTCGCTGTCAAATTATGGATGAAGTTAAACAACTTCGCTGCCAAATTGCGGTCGATGTGAGGCAATCTCGCTGGCAAATTGCGCATTGGTGAAATAAGTGATATCATGAATAATGATTAATATACCGAGAAGCAAGTTGATTGTACCTTAACTGCAATTTGAATTTGATCAGCCAAAAGTGTTCATATCTATAGTCACATTTAATTGTGCTATTAGATATCTATTTTTGTTAATAAATGTTTAAACGTCCTGATGTGACCAATTTATTGACAGTGAACATACCTTTTCTGTTATAAGGGGAACTCTGATTTCTTGTCTCCCTACTGGACTCGACTGGACATCCACAGCAGCTCTCGGATAATCATTCTGAAAAAAAAAAGATAACCGACATTGCAATATAATAAAAAGTACCATAGATTTTTAGGCTTTAAAAGTGAAAACAAATCTTTGCAATACATACATACGTATAATAAAAAGTCGGGCTCAATATCAAATTGTTATTTATTAGAAGTAATCTAAATATGAAAGAAAATACTAAGGGTAGTAATTGTACGAAGATTAGTATAAGCTGAAATTAATCCGTTAAGCACATCAATTGCAGCATGTTAGAGATTTTGTTAAAACAAAAAAAGGAGTAACATACACGTTTCGAGTCTTCTGAAAGCAATGGGATAGTGGTTTCATAATCCTTCCTCGGACTTGACTGTCCACCGGCTTTATACCTCGGTAACATATAATCTTTAGTCTGAAAATAAAATAAGGAACACATAAAAGTGTATATCTCTTCAGACGAGATGTATTGAGTGTGCTTATGAGAGACGGTGTAATTTCTAATTTTTAACTTGTTCTGATTATATCATCGCTTATGGCACACTATGAAACATTTCCATTTTCATATTTTTTTCTTCAAAGTTATAAGTTATAAATTTATAAATATCTAACTCTTATTCGTGCATTGTTTCAACCGGAGCAATAATGTTGTTGACAATTGTTTGTTATTATGTACAAATAAACCATTGACTAGACTGTGAAATAATTAATACTAATAACCATAGATAGTGTATATGATGTAAGACACTTCACAATCTCAGAAGATGTGTAAGGCTCTCGTGATTTTAGTACCACAAGTATTTATAACGCTCGTCAACAAAAAGATAAAAACAGGCATACCTCTCTTACTTACATCTAACTTAATATGAACGGGTCATTTTAATTCAGTTGATATTTACCTGTACAGGAGGGTCATCATAATCCGGTGGCGGTTCAGCCGGGTACACTGCTCTGACATCTTCCTAAAAAGCCAGATAAGCATATAGAATCAAGGCGCTATTGTATTCGGTTTTTGGAAAAACATCTAATATTCAGTGGTAGATTCTTAAAAATCAAGTTTCAAGCGAAATGTGAAAATCGCAGATATGGTTTGAGTTTTGTAAATTGAGAGAATTATTTGTGCAGTATTCCCATGACAAATTCACAACTGACTGCAGGATCATTTAATCTTCAACACTGAAAGCATTGGAATGAATGGCCACTGCAGGACCAATAAAACATAATATTGCAACGCATAGCACTGCATGTTGTTATAGATGTCACCTTCTACTAGTACTTGGCATCTACATAAGCACTAACCATATTGTCTGTGACTACTTTAATAATCAAAACCTATTACACTATACGTAAAACGACTTCGATTCTGGCAGGTGTTTCTTACAATGTTCATGCAAATAAAACTTCATTAACATTGTTTGAATTTGAAAAATCAGTAGTTTACTGTGTGTGTATATATAATATAACGTAATATTTATCAAGACGTAAGCATGTGCAATAGATGATCAAGTATAACATAGTTTTTAAGTGCATTTGAAATTGCACCCTTCCCATTCAACACCGCAAAGTCATCTTTGCTATGAAAGTCATTTTCAAATAAAAACAAAAACAAAACAAAACAAAAAACTTATCGTGGTAGACTGTCATAGGCTGGTAAACCTACAAGTTTGTTAAATTCGTTTTAAGTCGTGTGATGAAATTCATGATAGCTTATCAAGATGAATTCTTACAGGTCCATTAAGCCCAAAAAATGTTATAATTACTATGATTCAAACGCTTTTTAATTTTGGCATCCTGTTATAGTTTCAAAAAGTGTACTTTTACTCGTGTTTATATAACTTAGCTATCTTTTGATTCTATAGCATTATGGCAATTACTATAGTTTAAGTGATTTAGTATTTTGTATGGAAACCTAGAAACAAAGTGATCCCTCGGAAGCATTAATCACAGCAGAATTACATGTAAATTGTAGACTCGGTTTGATTTGAGTCTGTACATATAACAAAATACCAATTTGCTTACATTTTTCTACCTTTATGACAAATTATTTCACTTGCAACGTTACTTCATCTTATTGATAAACATCTTATAGTCTCTAAATCCATTATTACAACATTCTAAAACACGTGTTTGCGATTTTTAAAGAAGAATAAATAGATTAAATATTTCAAAAAATTTGCACCTTTAAAAATGCAGTGTTTACTTAAATGATATAAGGGAGACAAATATGATATTTTATCTTCTTTAGATTAAATCATAAAACCTTTCTCACAGGCAAATGCAAATATCGTAAACAAATCTATAATTGCTTTATTTTTACTTATATTACATTGAAGGCAGATAACATTCCATTTATTTCAAAACCTTCTTTATTATTTTGCTGATCAAATTACAACCAATGTCTTGACATATTATAGTTAGATGGATTAAAAAAAAAACAAATTTTGTTTTATTTAACCTTACATTAAAAATTAAAGAGTAAAAATACTTTAAAAACTGTTCTTTTAACTCTCATAGACTATAGAAGTTTTTTTGCATTCTTTTTGAAAAACAAGTCAAATCTTCTTATCTTATCAATATCTGTCCCTATATTTTGACACCAAAAATGTTTGATGAAAGTTGTTTAAATGATTAGTAAGAACATGCACATCTATGAACATTGTATTTTTAACCTGAAACGGTTGTAAAAAGTGCAAGTGTACCCGTTGTTTCCCGGGGACAGAAATGATAGCGTATCCAGATGACGCCGTTGATATAGTAGACCTCACTGAAGAGACCGTTGATTCTTCATACTCGATAGAGGTAATCCCAGCCATGACAATGGTAGTTATTTCACCTCCAGGCGTTCGTCATCATAGAATTTGAGTTAAGTTTTAATAACACTTCCTCAAAACATGTATTATGCTTCTTTCCTGATATTCAAGGTCCATTAAGGGTCCATGCATCATAATTCATCTGACACATACTATCAGATTTGTATAGTTTTATGCAAGTATATTATGTATAAATAACGTTAAATCCTTTCCTTCCCTGAATGCAGTTTATCTGTTCTAAATGTTATCTTTATATCGCAACAAAAACATCATTTTAACAGTTGCAGTATACACTTTAATTTTAAAACAAATATAATACATAGATATATTTTCCAACCGTGCACATGCATATAACCAGAACAGCTCGATATCTTCACACGTATTTGTAAACAATTGAAAAAAAGATGTTATTTAAACGTTATGTCCCCATTTCTTTCATCTTTTTTTTATTCCTTTCTGTGCATGATCAAACAGTAGTTTGACAGATAGAACACTTAATATGGTTTAAGTGGTTTAACACTGTCCTTAACACACATGGATAATGTAGTCTCAGCTAAGACATGTATTGATCGTCCAGGTGAATCATTACTTGGATTTATTTTTAGATATGACATATCATTTTTCCCAGGTGAAAACTGAACTATATATTTAGTTGTTAAATGATTTAATGTATTAATGAAAATAATTATTGCTAAAAAAATGAGCCTAGCCTAAACTAATGAATATACACAAATATGTTACACGTTATGATTATGAAAATATAAGTTAAATTTAATATTTTTTTTAAAACATACTTTCTTGCCGTTGTTAGTTATTGATTTAATACACATTTCAATGAATGAATCTAAAGGGAGGGGTGGGGAAGCGATAGCGATTTATGGGGTTTGGCTAGTATTTAGAAACCCTCTATATCAATTTATATGTTTCTTTAATGAAATTCAGTAAAAATTTGAGTCATAAAAAAGCTAGTAAAATGAAAACCCGCCTCTTTGATTATGCATTAGCCCTTTTCAAAATTTTGTGACCCCCTGTGGTAAAAAGTTCTAGAGCTGCGACAACAAGGAATAATTTCGTTATAATTTAGCATATAAGTAATTGCATATTAATTGCTTTTGACTGAAAGAAAACTGCATTTGCTGCTGTCATACTGTTAAAAGCTTAGCTGTCATGATTTAAGGAAAAACACACGCAAGTATGAAAACTCAAACTGAACACACAGTACGGCCCATTTTAAAAAAAAAAAAAACTAACTTTTCATAATACCTTATTTTAAAGAGTTTTCAGCATTAAAAGTTATTAGTGAAGTTAATGAAGCTATTTTGCAAACCGCGAGTAGGCTTGTCAATTAATTTGTTACTGATATTTTTACAATGTTCGTGGCAGTCGGTTGCCTGCGATTCTACACCTGTGCTTAACCAAACTATTGGAGTCTATGTAGATCAATAAGAAATAAAGATTTAAACTTTCCAAATGCACTATGCCTTTTGAATTTTTAATATGCATGTATAATCAAACTTTTTTTTATAAATATTATTTATCACGGAATATGTTATCATAATTACATTGCATGTTAGTAACAGAAAACGACATTTCGTTGTAAAGATAATTAACAGTCTTGTTTTTATCATTTTAGATCATTGAATCGGTATAGATTATTATAATATAATATATAATTACATTGTATGGTGCGCACTTGTTATTGATACATTATAGATATGATAAAGAGTATAAAGCTATATATCTGCGGCTTATAGTGTACACAATTACTGTATTAATTCTGAAAAAATAATAATTCAGTATTCTGTTTACGTACAATATACATGTGCCTGAAATAACACAGACATTCTACGCCATAACAAAAAACCAAAACCAAAACAAAACAACAACACCCCCCCCCCCAAAAAAAAAAAAAAGCAAACTAACAAAAATACATCCCACCCAGAAAAAAAACAAAACAAAAAAAAAAAGTGAGTTGTGTGCGCTTTACTGCATATTTTGAGGCTATCACCGCGGGTTAACTTGAGATATTATCACTCAAAAAGGTCTGTCACCGTAGGTTGTGTGCGCTTTACTGTATTCCCTTCAGCTGTCACCTCAGGTAAATATGACATATAACTCATCTTAACTGCCTATCAAATAGAGTTGTGCGTGCTTTACTTTGTATTCTGAGGACATCCCCGTGAGTTAACTTAAGTTAAGAATCCTGTGAAAGGCCTATCACCGTTTACTGCATTCCATGAAGCCATAACCGTTGGTGAACCGGCATAAGAACCCTCCAAAAAGGCCTATTAAATAGGGTTGTGTGAGTTTTACTTTGTATTTTGAAGGTATCATTGTGGGTTAACTTGAGATTTTTACGCTCTTAATGACCTAGCACAGTTTGTTATTTCAGCATTACGTCTTCACTGAGGCTATCACCGTGGGTTAGCTTGAGATATTAACTCTCTAAAATGCCTATCACCGTGGATTGTATGAGCTTTACTGTATTGCCTGAGGCTAACACGTACGTGGGTTCGCTTGCGATAAAAATCCCTTTAAAGAGGCCTATCAAATAAGATTGTGTGACCTTTACTGTATTCTTTGAGACCATCACCGTAGGTGAACTTGAGATAAGTGTGTCAGCTTCACTGCATTCTTTGACGCTATGACGGTGGGATTTATTGCGACCAGAACCCACTTAAAGGCCTATCACTGTGGGTTGTGTCAGCTTTACTGCATTCCTTGAGGCTAACACCGTGGATCGATTTTATCGCAATCAAAACGCTGAAAAAAGCCTGTCACCGTGAGTTGTGCTAGCTATATTGTATTCATTGAGGCTATCACAGTAGGTATATTATTGCAATCAGAACTCTGTAAAAAGGCCTTTGTTTCAGGTTAACTGCATTACTTGAGGCTATCACCTGGGGTTTATATGTGATTAGAAAATTACTGATAAGAACCCTCTAAAAGGTGCATCAATGATACTGAGGCTACCACCGCGGGATTGATTGAGACAAGAAACCTATAAAATGCCTATCAGCTTCCAAGGGAGTGTCGAAAATTGTATCACTCAAACAACCCACGGCGTTACACCTTTTAGACTGTTTTTAAATTTCTACACTTTTATAATTAAAGGGACTCCACTGAGATTTATTGACATGGCGGGACTGACAATGATTTTTTTAGATAAATGTTCCATTTGATGTTGATCAAGACAAATAACCTTTGTGCAAAATTTCACATCATTTGCTCTCTCCTTATTTTTAGAATAATTATTCAAATTGTTAAATATGACCCCAAACTGAAAAGCGTGGCAACGCTTTTCACAGTTAATCGCACAAAAGCACAAAATACAACTTTCAATTTATTTCTAAGTACATTTCTTAACTATCGTTGCATATCTGTCTGTTTTAAATGCCTTAGCTAATTAATGTAAGAAATGCAAAAACATTACATGTATGTTTTTTTAGGATTTTAGACATCAGTGGAGTCCCTTTAAGTAGTCCTGACATATCTTCAAATTCTTCATTGGTGTTTTCCCTGCTTTTTAAATTGATGTTAAACTATTCCTGGGAATGACCCAAGCACGTTGATTGATCTCTACTCATTGCGCAAAAGAACAACAAATAAAAAAGATGCATTATAATTACACTAAATTTACAGTAATTTTGACAGCACTGGTCACATGAAAATATGCCATTACCGTGAAATAAGTGAGGACGCGGAATTGGTGATGTTGAGTATATACAGATACTACATGTACTGTACAGTATGTATCTCGATCGCACCGCCTGCAGGACAGGGCGGACCATACTGTATGATATAAAATTATATAATTATATAATATCATATAATTCTCTTGCACCAACCTTAAAATGAATAAAAGTTGATAAATGCATAAATAGCTAAAAAATAGAGTCTCATTTCATTTCCCCTTCCTTTTATTATTGGCTAAAAACAGATTAACTGATTGAATATTGGTTGGTTAGACTTTATGTAGTACTTTAAAGTGGGTATAGATGGATACCGAAAATAAGCTATTTTCGCGAAAATAAGATTGCGGCTACGAAAATAAGATTTATTTTTGAAATAGTGCATTTACATGTATCTGTTGAAATAATTATGTAAATAAGATTTATACGAAAATAATTAAGATGTGCGAAAATAAAAGCTGTATGAAAATAATATCCTTGTGAAAATAAGATTTATACGAAAATAATTAAGATCTGTACGAAAATAATGTCTGTATGGGAATAAGATTTATACGAAAATAATATTTGTATGATAATAATATCTTTATCAGAATGATATGAAAAACGACTCTATATGAAAATAATGTCTTTATAAAATAAGATCTTTAACGAAAATAAGATCTGTATAAAAATATATCTTTTTGATAACAAAACCTGTAAAAAATCTGTAAAAAATAAAATATCTATATGAAAATTTGATATGATTGGTGACTATGATAAATCGCCAATAAACATTTTTAATGATGGGCTTTAATAAGTGTGTGTCAATTACGATAAGTGCGAAAATCCAATAATCCAATCATCGTATTAGTGCATTGATTGCTGCCGACAGTCATGTGCACGTGTCATACGTTGTATTGTTTTATTCCTTCTCTCAAATAGAAATATCTTGTTTATGCATTATCTAATTAAAGCACTTAAAGCAATAAAGTTATATATACTTTTCTTTTACTTAATATAGATATGATTTTCATATTAGAATATACACGTATTTTCAATCTTTTATATTGGTAAAAATCATTTCCATATTGATATCTTATTTTCATATAGATATCTTATTGTTTACAGATTTTGATCTCTTTTTCGTATCATTCTGAAACAGATATTATATTATGTTCATACTAATACATTTGTATTATTTTCGTATAGATCTTATTTTCGTAAGGATATTATTTTCATGCAAATTTCATATTCATAGATCTTATAAAAAGATTTGTAAAAATCTTAGTCGAAAACATAATTTTCATACAGATTTTATTTTTGCAGAGATCTTATTTTCGTATATGAGTAGATCTTATTTTCGTGCAGATATAATATCAATTCATGCAGTAATTGTTTTTACAGATCTTATTTTCGTACATATATAGTATTTTCATACAGTTATTATTTTTTAACAAAGCTCATTTTCGTATATATATCTTATTTTGGCATAGATCATATTTTCAATTAGATCTTATTTTCGTACAAGTATCAATTCATATATACTACAGATCTTATTTTTTTATAGATCATCAATTGGGTCTTATTTTCGTACATGTAGTATTTTCATACATATATTATTTTCATACAGGTATTATTTACTAACAGGTCTTATTTTCGTATGTACATAATTTTCATGCTTACGGATCTTATTTTCGTTGAGTACTGTACAGTATAGATTTTATTTTCATGCAGTAGATCTTATTCTGGTAGTCGTTGTTTCTGGTTATTTGCACACTAGCTAATTCTTGCTTTTATTTTGATACTTTTTCACCACTACCTTTTCTTGTCTTATAAGAGAAGATTTAATTCAATTTATACAATCTTATTTGCAAGTAATACAATTTTATAAGTTATGATCTTATTTTCGTAATCGCCATCTTGGGTTATTTTCGCATGCCTTCTTTGTATACTATTTGGGAAATTACCTTGTATGCCGCACAAACGTCTAATATATTATTACAAAATACTTCATTTTTTATTATTTCATTCATACAAATCATTTAATATCAACAAAAATACGTTTTCAATACATTTTATCAAAAATAAATCTTATTTTCGTAGACCCGATCGTATTTTCGATTTCCACGGCAATTCAAGCTATTTTCGTACGATAGTATTTTCGGCTCAAACTTCACTTTTTAAAATATTTTTTTGGTTCTGAAATTTTAATTTGCTGTAAAATCATTCAATGAATGCATATAAATATATTTTACATAATTATTTCAACAGATAAATGCACTATTTAAAAAATAAATCTTATTTTCGTAGCCGCGATCTTATTTTCGCGAAAATAGCTTATTTTCGGTATCCATCTATACCGCTTTAAAGTCTAAAAATGTTAATTTTAGTACAGCTAGACCCAATGATCGGGATATTTCTGTGAACATCGTACAAACGTAGCAATCGCAACTTTTCGGCCCTTTCCGTCAGTCTTCGGATGTTCCGATTGCTATTTCACTTCTCGCATCTTCTCGGACAAATATGGTAATCATACCGAACAAAAGTTACAAATAAAAGGTGAATAACGAGTATGTAAATGATTTTTCATTCATGATGACATAAGATATTCAACAATTCGCAATTATGGTACGTATTACATTTACGAAATTGCCGGAATGTGACTAATTAGTCTACTTTTTTCAGAAACATTTCTGACCCGCCTGGCATCCATGATTTCTCCACTTGTGTCTTGTCACGCGGATTTTAGAAAACAAGAAATAAATGATTTTTAGAATCCATCTTCACTCAATCTGAGTAGCTCGATGACATTTAGTTCAATGTTACTTCGACTTAGGAGTATACACTGTGATTTTTAGCAGGCTGGTAAGGTTAAAATGCCAAATCGGGCTTTCTGAAAACTGAATGAAATCTGGGACATACGTAGGGGAAATCCGGATAAATACGGACGATTTTTGCACTTTGGTGTTCAATAACTTAGAGCAGAACGCATAGCTTCGATCGACATACCAATACAAACTTATTTGTTCGGAAAACTATTTACACGGATATTTAGCATCTCATAAAGGCAGACATGTGTCCGAGATATTGCTAGTTATCAAAAATAAATTACCTTTTAAAACCGGGATAGTACGGACACAGGAGTAGAACTACGGACACAAGACGGGAAAATACGGACAATAAATATTTCAAAGGGGGAAGTACGGACACTTATGTCTTTTTAAAAAAAAGTCAATTCCACGCGTTTTAATACTCTATTGATCTATTCTAAACATGTACAAATGAGAAAATCAACTTTGATGGAAATCTCCGCCTGCCCATTTCGTCGTTTTAATGCCCTGCAAGAACAACGTGAATGCATTAACATGTTATACATGAAATACATCAAGTATGCTTTTTATATATTTTAGTCAATTTTATTAATACTTTTCAGTTAGTAATTTAGAAGTTGTTAGTATTCATATCATATGTATTGATTGTTTTTAAGTAGAGAAATGCGTAAGAAAGGAATAATTAAATATATACTTTATGAATGAAAATAATTCATTATAAGTAGACAATAGGTAAGTACGACAGCATAGGTAAGTACGACAGCATACAAACTAATTAACTTAAAAATCTATCAAACTATTTAGATCTAAATGTTATGTAATTAATGTAGTACGCATGAAAGGAATGAAGAAAGTGCTGAGCGAGTAGGTATTTGTTAAATTACCATAAGCTATGATAGGTTTGTAGTATCATGCACTGGCAGTCTCTACCAACTCTACAACTGTTTTTCTTCCCTTTTTGGTCTTTCTGTTTTCTTTGAGTTCCGATTTTATTTCATTACTTTGTTCTTTCTTAATTCTTTTACTGTTTTGTTTCATTTGCGTCTTGAGTACCCTTTGCAACTTTTGTGTCTGTAGAAGCCTTTTCTCTTCCAAAATCTCCATGCTTGTTAGAAGTTTATGTCCTGTTACTTTTTTCACTCTTGATGACTGTGGACGGCTTTTTGCTACTTTTGGTGTAAACAACTCATCAAGGCATTGATTAACCGACTCGTCAGATTCGATAGGTTGTGGGTTATTATTTTCAAGTACATTTGTGTTAATGGACGACACTTCATCGTAAGGGAATGATGTATCAAGATCTTGTACAAATACATCTCCACTGTTGATCAAATCCATAAGCTGTGACGGATCACTGATGTCAAGAACAGAACTTAAACCTAAATCACTGGACGAATCTACTGGACATATCTCACTTGTTGTCTGGGATTCATTGTGTAAAGATAAAGTTGGGCTTATGTCTGTTGGTTTACTTGGCAAGAAGGCACTTGAGGGTATAACATTTCTGTTAAATGGCACGATGCCACAGGCTCTAAATCCAGACATAATGTTTGATTCATTAAGAGCTGTACTCCAAGCCTCTTTTAATAATGCAGGGAATGTCCACTTATTTACTAAATGTAATGGATGATCCTGCATAAATGCAGAACAGGCCTCATTGTATGCACGCTTAAGAGGACCAAAAACAGTTCTGTCTAAAGGCTGGAGGTAATGAGTGCAATGAGGTGGTAGAGTAAGGAGCATAATATTCTCATCGATAGCCCTTTCAATTATAGCTAAAGATTCATGACTAGAGTGGCCATCGATTATCAATAATTGGGGGCGTTCTGGACCACAGTTTCTGAGAAAAAGCTCATCAAACCACTGCTCTCCTATTTCGTCAGTTATCCAACCGTTCTTCTGATATGTCCAAACAGTACCAGACGGACTGGCGGTGGTGTTAAAAGAGTGTAGTGACCTCTTTGTTTTGCCTTTTGCAATTAACATAGGTGGCATTTGCTGACCACATGCATTTACACATGCCATTGCTGTTATGTTAGTTGAACGGTTGGTTGTTTTGCTGACAACCGTGCGTGTACCTTTCTCAGCAACAACTTTCACAGGACAGTGCTCGAAATTGAACCCAGTTTCGTCCGCATTCCATACTTGATGCGGTTCAAGGTCAGACCTGGGGATGATTACATTGATCAGTAATTGATTAAATTACAATTACTTTCAGATTGTATTGTAATTGATTAAGATTGATTACTCACATTTGCCTCTGTAATCAATTGAATTACAATTACTTTTAAGAGAGTAATTGATTGATAATTGATTACATTGAATGTACATTAAACCACCCCAGAATTAAGACCACCCTGCTATTAAGACCATTTTTGAAAATATTCTTTAAGTCAATGGTTTCGTGATCCAGATTTAACCCCCTGCTTATTCACTTTTAAGACCACTATTATTAACCAGTCCAATTTTTTGTTTTAATTTTAATGTGACTATTGAGACCTCTGATATTGAAGTCAACACCTATCTAGATCTTAAATTTGTTGTTATGATCTGCTTGAATGCTCTTTAGCATGACACTTGATTTCACAAGGTGTGAAAAACTGTTATTGGGTTATTGTATGAAATTAGGTGAGAAGGTCAATTTTAGAGTGGTACATTGTTGCTTTCAGCACATTTATTTTTTGAAAATTTAAATTTTCATTTGATTTATGTACATCATATAATAAGTGATACTGTAAAATTAACGTTAAATTTCTCCAGAAATATGTTTTCCCTTTAATATCAGATTAAATATCAAAGCATTCTTTGATAGTTTCTTTTATAATGTATTTGTAGATACATATAAATAAACATATTGTTTATTCATACAAAATGACTAAAGTAGACCATGGTCTTTAAAATATGTAAGCAATGGGTAAGAATGTTTTTAAATTTTTTATCAGTCTAATTTGGGATTTTTACCCTTTTAACTTTAAAAAAAAAAAGTTTAAAATTTTTAATTTTAAAAAAAAGGCAATTTCCTTTTAACTTTAAAAAAAGTTTTTTTTTTTAAATATGAAAGTAAAACAAAAGTCAATCAAAAAAATTAAAACAAAATTAATGGGCTGAATTTACTTTTAATTGTTAATTAAAAATTAATGAATCGTTTGGGGGAAAAAGGAATCAATTCATGAAAAGATTACAGGTTAAATCATTTAATCAATTACAAAAACAATGAAATTTCATTAATGATTCCCCAGGTCTTTTCAAGGGTTACTTTCTAAGGGGAAAATTTTACCAAAAATCGTCAAAAATCTTTCCAATTACCTCAGCATTAAGGCATTTTGAACCCCAAATGATGAAAACTTCTCAGGGGGAAACTGATTTAAAAAGTTGGGGTCCCCTTTCGCAAAACCCTCCCACCAAATCCCTTGCCAGCCTGAAAGTCTTTATATGAAGGGGCTGGAAACTTTATAAAGCTTTCAAAGAATTTGTTTAAGAAGATCTGCCTTTTTCCCCACTTAGACCAAAGCCTAAAAATTTTGGAAGGCCCCAAATTTTACAACTGTTTACTTTTTTATCCTCTATTAAGAAGGAAAGCTGGAGGTCGACCCGTTGAGTAACAGATAAAACGTGTTTTTTTTAAAATATTTGATCTGGAAAATTTTTGACTTAGGAAAATTTCATAAGCTTTTACTAGCTTTTTTTTTAAAGCTCAATTTTTTCCGGACTGTAAAAACCCCAACTGTTTTTTAGAGAAGACTTTGGGTTTTTCTGCTGGTTTTTCCCCTTTTAATATATACATTTTTTTGGGGATTTCTGGAAAAAAAACAAGTTGAAAATAATGTAATTTCCACGAAAAACAAAATGTCAAAACTGATCGAAATAGAATTTGGGAAAAACGGGTTTTTTCCACCAAATTTAAAAAATAGAGAGCCGAAATAGGGGCCTTTTAAAAATGATGGTTTTTCAAACGTTTTAAAAAGAATAAACAAAAAAAATTATTTATTTAAATAGTTTCAAACTTTTTGAATTAAATTTTTAACAGGGGAAGGAAAGGGACGGGGAAATATTTCTTTTTAAAAGGGAAAAAAAAAGCTGCCTACCCCCGGGGGCACCGGGGTAAAAAATAATGCATTTTTAAACCCATTTTAAAAACTTGTTATTTAAAAATCATAAAACTATTTATTTCTACATCTTAAATATATTAACTTGATCATACTTAAACTACAGATGACAGTTGTTGGTAGTAACATTGATATATTGAGTAAGATAAAACAACGGGTATATTTTATCATTTTGTATCTTTAATATTTGAAACGTATTTTCTTTATCTTTATTTTGAAATATGTAACAATGTCTTTTTAATATTAGAACTACATCGAACTCATTTTTATTTCATCAATGATTTTTGAAAGTTGAAAATCTTCTGTTTCATTTGCATAGTAAGATGCTGTCCACACTATACTTCTGTCCGGATCAAATTTTGTGGTTTCAAAGTATTCGTGCAGTAATTTCATGGCACTCAGATCATTTTCACATTTGTCTACTAAATAATTATACAGTAAAATCATGGAAGGGTGCTCAAAAATGTATTCATTCTCGTACATATAAAATAGGTGATTCTCCACCATTGATTTCATCTTAAAAAGTTTAGATAATCCTGTAATTTCTGCTGTTCCGAGTATTTGAGGAATTGAGTTTGTTCTACAAATGTTCATTCTTCCTAAAATGCAGAACAATACTACATTTAGTGAAAAATTTCGAATCTTAAAAAAGTTGGAAATAATCTGCATGCAAAGCCTCGTTTCATTTAAAAATTTGTTAGAGTACTCCTGTCCGTATTTACCCTAACTTATGTAATATCCATGGGGAAAATACGGACAGTACAAAATTGCTTATTTTCTACCTTATCGTGTTATAATGTATAAAAAGAGACCCATTTACATGTCACTCTACCCCTGCGAAAACATCAAGACTAAAATGTACTAGGGGTACATGTCAAAAAATTACAAGTTTCGGGAAATTTACCGGCGTTTGAATTTTCCCGCTTCCAAACTTAGACTTGCGCACACAAAGGAAGTAGACGCCTATACACTTTTGGCATGCGTATGATGACGTTATGTTGCAATGACGTATTTCCGCTTTTATGAAGAGTCATAATAAAACCCAAAGATTCCTTGACTAAACAAAGACAGAGTATATCGTAAGTGATACGAAAGTTACGAAGGAGAAAAGAACAAATGTCCGCATTTACCCATATGTCCGTATTTTAACGGATTTCCCCTATATCCCAGATGAAATGTATGCTGACAGGTGTTGGCGCAATGAATTAGAGCATATAAAAGAAGTTATTTAACCTAATAGGCTATTTTGTTTGACATTTTGCATATATAAAATATTTTTTTAAGGACTTCAAAAATGATGTGTTATAAAAACATGAAAATTGGGAAGTAATTCTCATAAAAATGACAGTAGCCAATTATTTTTCTCACTATTTAATGTCAAATATTATTCTCAATAAACAAACAAAGTTTAAAAGAAATTTTAGAAATGTGATTTTTTATGTCATAAGCCAGATCAGGCATTTTCACCAGCCTGCGTAATGCTCATTATCAATGTCTACCAAGGTCGTTACATTACTTTCCCCTCGGAGAAGTCTCGTCTCAAGACTTGATCTTGGAAATATGTGGTTACGGCAACTTTGGCCTGGCAGTTGTCTTAATCATCCCACAGTGGCCACTAAATGTAACGTTTCCAGGGATTTTTCCAGGATTTTGGGAACATAACCCATACCCATGGAATTGGGAATTTCAGCAATATTTTGTTAAAAAATTGGGGGAAAATGCATGACGATTAAATAAATGCAAACAATCACTGTCTAGGATGGCATCTTCAAACATTTAAGCATTATTACAGTGAAGAAGCCCTTATTTCAAAGATTTTAGAATTCTTTATTCAATATTTTTATTTTTGTAACTTTCAATTAAGAATATTTTCCTGTGGATTGGGATAATAATATACTATTTTCAATTGGGAATATGACCCAATAACAGCTATCAAATAAGCAGGGCTACAGATAACATTTTGTGTATATTGGGTAATTACCCCTTGTTTTGTGATCTATTGGGTTTTTTCTATTTTCTTTAAGTTATTTCTGATTTTTTTTACCCTACCCCCTCTAACCAATTTGGGTTATAAAGCATGAGTTCATTTATTTTACGCAAAATTTCTGACCTCCATTGTAGACTGTTGTAGGTTTTGTATGGTTATAAAAAAGCTTCTTACTACTTTGCTTTATGGTTTATTGGCCAAGCTGCCTGATATAATTTAAAGGTTAAAACAGTCTGAAACAGTATGATCTGCCTGATGTCAGCGTTAAGTAATAATTTATGTAATTACCCACCAGTTCAAATGTAGTTTGCATAAATAAGAATTCATTTACTTTTTCTTTCCCTTAGTTATTATTTCTATTGGGTTTTTAGACATTTTAATTGGGTAATAACGCAAATACCCATGTTATCTGCAGCCCTGAATAAGCCAAAAAAAACTCTGGTTTTAAGGCACGCAAACCCTGTCGGTGAAAAGGCTGGCTCACCACCAACAGTGGTTTGCGTCCCCATATTTGGCAAAAACTTCCCTTATAAATGGTAATTCACCAAATTAAGTTTTTGCATACTACTTTGTAGTAGTAATACTAGTATTATTATGCTCATTATCAGTATTATAAGCTGTTTCTTAAATGTATACAATGTATACCTGCTTAGAGTGATCGAAAAAGATTTTAAAGCAGTATGATGTAGAAAATAGAAATTATGATGTTCTACCAACGTCGTTACATAACTTTCCCTCTGAAAAGTCTCGTCCCGAGACTTGGCCTGGGAAATCATTGGGTATGAAAACACCAGTCCAGCAGTTGTCTACATCTCACCACACTGACTACCAAATATAACCTTTTAAGGGACACAAACCTTTCCGATGAAAAGCTAGCTCACCACCAAGAGTGGTTTGTGTCATGATATATAGGAAACATTCCCATGCGTTAATTTCACCAGCCTGCAAAAAATCTGAAGATTATAAGGCCAATGTGTCTTTGACTTCAGAATGTGTTTTCATATAAAATTAGTTTCAATATTTTCCCGAAATAATTGTCTAGTACGTCATCAGTATATGTACTTCCAGTAAGATTTGCATAATGCATGTATGTCAATCATTTATGCATAATCTATATTATCATCTACAGCTGTTGGTTATTGTAAATATATTGACAAAGCTCGAGTATAATCATTTTTTAATGTTCACTGGTTAAAGAACAAGTTATCATAAATTTCTGTTGAATACATTTATTTTTAGATTGACCCATTTAGCTGATTGGTTGTGTTCAATTAGAGGATATGTATGGTTGCTGATTTGATAAATTGCGCGTTGTGTTGTTGATAGCGACAACGCAACCTATATCACTATCGCCTGTTCGTCTTGTTGCTAGTGACAACACAACAAAGCGCCAAACGGCGCGCTGTTGTCTTGTTGCTAGCCAAACGGCATCTGCGTCCAGATGTCAGAATAAAGTTTTGGTGCAGTAAAATATTTTTCATTATAACATTTCTTAAGGTATCAACTTCAAATATATGTGTCTTATCAACAACCACATATTGTGTGACATGGTTCTTAACTATAGCCCCTATATTTTCAGATTGATCTCCCCTTGAACTTAGAAGTTTCCTTAAAAATACTGTTTTTGTGTCGCCTTGAAAAGGTGACATATTGGGGTTACTTTTGTCAGCGGCGGCATTGTCGGCGTCCCCTAAAGCTTGTCCGGAGCATAACTCAGTCACTATAAGTCGGATTGACTTCAAACTTGGTATGCATGCTTCTTTCAATAACCCATAGTGCAGTGCACAAGGACGGGTACTCTGCACTTCTTAATTTTTGAGTTATTGCCCTTTGTTAATTTTCATACTTTAATTTTGTCCGTGCCATTTCTCTTATGGACTTGAAACTTCATAGGATGATAGATCTTATTAACTTAAAAAGAAGTGCAGTGCACAAGAACCGGTACTCTGCATTTCTTATTTTTTGAATTATTGCCCTTTGTTGATTTTCATACTTTATGTTTGTCGGGGCCATTTCTTATGATTTATAAAAGCTGTGGGCTTGAAACTTCAAAGGATGATAGATCTCATTAAGAAAAAGTGCAGTGCATAAGAACTGGCACTCTGTTTTTCTTATTTTTTGAGTTATTGCCCTTTGTTAATTTTTATACTTTATTTTTGTCTGGGCCATTTCTTATGAATTATAAAAGCTATGGGCTTGAAACTTCATAGAATGATATATCTCATTAAGAAGAAGTACAGTGCATAAGAACAGGTACTCTGCACTTCTTATTTTTGAGTTATTGCCCTTTGTTAATATTCATACTTTATTTGGGCCATTTCTCCTAAACTATAAAAGCTTTGAACATGAAACTTCATAGGATGATAGGTCACATCGAGATGAAGTGCAGTGCACGAAAACCAATACTCCATGGTTTTTTAGTTAATGCCTTTTGTTAATTTTTATACTTTAATTTTGTCCGTGCCATTTCTCTTCAACTATTAAAGCTATGGACTTGATTATCTTCATAGGATGATAGATCTCATTAAGAAGAAGTGCAGTGCACAAGAACTGGCAATCTGCACTTCTACTTTTTTGGTTATTGCCCTTTAGCAGTGTTTATAAATAACCTACATTTAAGAAGAAAATGCAACTATACTGTTCACAAGGCGACACATCCGACTCGCTGAGTTCTAGTTTACTTTTACTTCTTTATTTCTTTAGGGATCAACTTCATACTTCAAATATATGTGCCTTATCATCAACAAAATCTTATGTAACAAGGGTCATAACTCTAGCACCAATATTTTATAGATTTATCTCCCCTTGAACTTAGAATTTTCCTTAAAAAATATTTTTTACCATTACTTATTTTAGTATTAAAGAATCAACTTCATACTTCAAATATATATAATTTTTTTATGTACCTTATCATTAACCACATGTTACGTAACAAGGTTCATAACTCTAGCACCAATATTGCAAGAATTATCTCCCCATAAACTTAGATTTTTTACGTGAAAAATGTTATTTCTTACTATAAGTGTTGACGTGTTGTTCTTCATCCCCTCCTTGATTACTTAGTTTATAACATTTTTGTGTCGCCTCTACAGAGTAGTGGCGACATATAGGGATCACTTTTCTGTCGTCTGTCTGTCCGTCTGTCCGTCACAAAACTTGTCCGGACTACTCCTCATAAACTACTGGTGCAATTTCATCCAAACTTTACAGGAATGATCAGTACCAAGTCTAGTTGTGCATATTGTCAGTATTTTCCGGTTCAATGATTTTTGTCAGAGTTATGGCCCTTTAATAATTTTTATTTTTAAAGTTTGTTCGGACTACTTCTCAAATACCACTAATGCAATTTCAATGAAACTTTACAGGATTGATCTGTAGCTCAAGTCCTTGGGCATATTGCATGGGTTTTCCGGTTGAATGATTTTTGGCCGAGTTATGGCCCTTTGATAAAAAGGTGTTTTTTTCTGTGTGTTGCCAGATACACAAAAGCTTGTCCGGACTACTCTTCAAAAACTACTGGTGCAATTTCATCCAAACTTTATCCCCTAAGGTATCTATTTCAAACTGCAAATATATACTTCTTATCATTACACAAATGTTGTGTGACAAGGTTCATAACTCTAGCGTGACTTAAAACTTGGAATGTGTGTTAACAACTATGAATATGGTTAGTGATCATCACTTCTAGGCAAGAGGACAAAATTAATAAATCCTTGATTTTGACAAATTTAAGCCCCTTTTTTCTACTAACAATTTTGGTTAAGTGTTTGGTACCACTTCATTTATTTCCTGTACAGCCTTTAAAGCGGCATGCCTCCAGATGAGTGAAAATGTTTCAATAAAATCAAACTTGAGAAAAATGTACTAAGATTTTAGGAAAAGTAATAATATTCAAGATTCAAGTAATAATTTACATGCTATGTGCGATTAATGACTGATTTTTTTTTCCATATTTATACATGTACCTATATTTCTACTGCGTTACTTACACAATAAGTGCTATTTTTGCATATTTTGTCCCCTTTTTCGTATTTTACGTGGGTTGTAAGTTTCATTGATAATGTGTAAATTGCTTCCTTTTGGTTATTTCACTAAATAATACTTTTAAACACATTTTCAAAATTTTCATGAAAACTAGCATGAATCTGGAGGTGTGCTGCTTTAAGGTATTGCTTTGAAACCATAAATACTAAGTGACCATCATCCCTGATTCCAGGTAAGAACTTATAATAGTCAAGCACACTGTCGTAAAAGCAGCAGGAAAAATAGACACTGGTTTATTGTGTCGCCTTGAAAAGGTGACATATCGGGGTTACTTTTGTCGGCGGTGTCGGTGGCGTCTGTGTCGTTGTCGGCGTCGTTGTCGGCGTTCCCTTAAGCTTATCCGGAGCATAACTCAGTCACTATAAGTCTGATTGACTTCAAACTTGGTATGCATGCTTCTTTCAATAAGCCGAAGTGCAGTGCACAGGGACCGGTACTCTGCATTTCTTATTTTTTGAGTTATTGCCCTTTGTTAATTTCATACTTTAATTTTGTCCGGGCCATTTCTCTTCAACTAAAAGCTATGGACTTGAAACTTCATAGGATGATAGGTCTCATTAAGAAGAAGTGCAGTGCACAAGAACCGGTACTCTGCACTTCCTAATTTTTGAGTTATTGCCCTTTGTTAATTTTCATACTTTATTTTTGTCCGGGCCATTTCTCCTAATGTATAAAAGCCATGGACTTGAAACTTCATAGGATGATAGGTCTCATTAAGAAGAAGTGCAGTGCACAAGAACAGGTACTCTGCATTTCTTATTTTTTGAGTTATTGCCCTTTGTTTATTTTCATACTTTAATTTTGTCCGGGCCATTTCTCCTTAAGTATAAAAGCTATGAACTTAAAACTTCAGAGGATGATAGATCTCATTAAGAAGAAGTGCAGTGCACAAGAATCGGTACTCTGCATTTCTTATTTTTTGAGTTAATGCCCTTTGTTGATTTTCTTACTTTATTTTTGTCCTGTTCATTTCTCCTCAAGTATGAAAGCTATGGACTTGAAACATCATAGAATGATTGATCTTATTGATAAGAAGTGCAGTGCACAGAAACTGCTGCTCTGCACTTATTATTTTTTTAGTTATTGCCCTTTGTTATTTTTCCTATTTCATTTTTGTCCTGGCCATTTCTCCTAAACTACATTGTTCACAAGGCGACACATCCGACTCGCGGAGTTCTAGTTATATTTATTTATTATAAACTTATCTCTATAATTTCAGAGTGAACAATGATGGAATGAGCAATTAAGAGAGTTTCAGAATTTGTCTTCGCATGTACAATGTGTGTCTTGAACAACGTTGAGGTGTGGACAGAAAACACATGGAGCAAAATGGAGAAATAAAAAATTATTGTTGTTTTTTTGCTTACAATAGTTAATATCTTAAGTTTTTCTAAAAGAAAAGTGAGGATATATATATGTTTCAAACATTTACTTGAAAAGAAGTGTTTCAAATTCAATTGATTAGATATTGAGTTAAGCACCATGGGAAACTTAGTGATTGAATTTTTTATGTGTACTGAAAAGAATAGGCAGAAAAAGTTCAAGGACTTGAGTATTTAAGTTTTATAATTGTAAATGTGTGTTTGGAATATTTATAGATTCAAGCTTCTAAATGGATGTTAAATTACTTTTAGACATTAATTGTACACTTGTTTAATTAGACGATATAAAGATACGTGGAAATTACAAATAATAAATTAGTTCAACAAGTGATTAACAGTTGGAGATAATTATCTAAATTTGCACTAATTAATCAGTGACATAAATGATACTAAATTATTAACAATAATGGCACATAGATATCCAGGACAGGGTTATCAACCCCGTGGTAATATGGATAACAGAGGTATGCAAAACCGAGGTAGAGGTATGCCAAACAGAGGAAGAGGTATGCCAAACCGAGGTGTATCAAATAGAGATATCTCTAATCAAGGATTTATGCAGAATGAAAGTGTGGCAAATAGGGGTGGCCCATCCTGTCAGAGACTAAATACTAATGAAGGTTACCAACAAAATCCAGGCATATCTAGCAGTGACATGCCTAGTTCTGGGGTAAACTTTAACCAACGTTTTCAGTCCAATCTGAAAAATAACAGAACACAACCCAATCCTGACATTAATCAAGGTGTTCAAAGAAATTTGCCAAACAGGAATATGTCTAACCCTGGAATGAATAGGAGCCAGGGTTATCAACAAGATAGAAATATGCACAATAGAGACATAAATGATTCTGGTTTTAACAATAACCAAGGCTATCCAACAAGTAGAAATATGCCAAATACTGATAGGGGTAATTTTAACTCAGAATTTAACACAGACAGGCAGTTTCAAACAAGTCAAAGCAATCCTATAAGGAACACAAACCAAGGTTTTCATGCAAATCAAGATATGTCTAACAGAGGCATGTCAAATCCTGGACTTGAATCAGGCCAAGGTTTTCAAAATTATCCTAATAGAACAATGCCAAACAAAAGAATAAGCACACATGAAGGTTTTCAAGCAAATCAAAGTTTATCAAATAGAGGCATGTCCAATCCTGGCATAAATACTAACCAAGGTTTTCATCCCTCTCATGATATGTCTGACAGGGGCATGTCCAACCATGGAATAAATGAAAACAAAGGTTTCCAAACAAATCAAAGTTTATCAAATAGAGGCATGTCCAATACTGGCATAAATACAAACCAAGGTTTTCATCACTCTCATGATATGTCTGACAGGGGCATGTCCAACCATGAAATAAATGAAAACCAAGGTTTCCAAACAAATCAAAGTTTATCAAATAGAGGCATGTCCAATCCTGGAATAAATACAAACCAAGGTTTTCATCCACCTCAAGATATGTCTGAAAGGGGCATGTCCAACTTTGGAATTAATTCAAACCGAGGTTTCCAAGCAACTCAAAGTTTACCAAATAGAGACATGTCAAATCTTGGCATAAATACAAAACAAGGTTTTCATCCACCTCAAGATGTGTCTGAAAGGGGCATGTCCAGCTTTGGAATTAATTCAAACCAAGGTTTCCAAGAAAGTCAAAGTTTACCAAATAGAGGCATGTCCAATCCTGGCATAAATACAAACCAAGGTTTTCATCCACCTCAAGATATGTCTCACAGGGGAATGTCCAACTATGGAATTAATACAAACCAAGGTTTCCAAGAAAGTCAAAGTTTATCAAATAGAGGCATGTCCTATCCTGGAGGAAACACAAACCATGGTTATCAAGTAAATCAGGATATGCCTAATAGAGATATGTCCAATTCAAGAATAAATACAAATCAAGGTTTTCAAACAAATCAAAATATCCATAGCAATAGAGGAGAATCTGGCCTTACAATGAACAATCCTCTGGTGTTTAATCAACATAATCGGCAAACACCTCAAGATAATTTTCATATGTCCGATAAAAAACCTTCACAAGGTATTGATAGGTTTCCAATGCACCATGATGCACAGTTAGATGGGAATTCTCAAAGGCAGATGAGTTCTGTTAGCATGCAGCAAGGTTCATTACCCCAAAATACCATGACACAAGCCCCTATTATCCAGCATGTGATGATTCCAGTGCCAGTTCCAGTTGGGACTGACATTCCTCCCCATTTACTTAGACCCCAAATTATCACCTCCTCTGGTCAAGGCATTTCTAGTCAAAATCAGTTTACGGGGTCTCCAATTCCTGGGATGCAGCATCAGGGTCAAATCACAAATATTTCAGGTCAATTCCCTGTTCTACAAGCTCAGTTTCAAGGTCATAATCAAGCTCTAACTTTGCCAGATCAAAGAAATCTGCCGGGAAATTCTGCCCAAGGTCATATTCATGCCCCAAATACAGATATACCAGCAACTAGATCTAGTGTCAACGATTTAAACTATTACATTGGTAATGAATCAAGAAATATTCAAAAAGACCGTTCGGTAGACAATCTTCATAGCTCAGTGGAACATGACTCCCGCAACAACCGCCAACGAATACTTCATGATGAAATGTATGAAAACAGAGATGCACATAAAGAAGATTTTAGGCGTGTTTCTCAAGATAAATTTCAAATGAGGCAAGAAGATTCTGAAAGTGAAAGGGTAAAAAGTGACCGTTCTAGGAGCCAAAATTCTAGTAAAATTTCTTCATATGCATCTGATTCTTTAGAAAGGCCAGGACATGAAGTTTCAAGAAAGTCAAGTGATACTCAAATGTATGATAAGAGACATGTTGATTCTTATAGGAAGCATGATGATTATGGTGTGAAAAATAAAGACATTCCAAGAACTGGACAATATGAAAAAATTGAGAGAGATGAAGTATTTGTTAGTCATAATAGATTTGAAAGAGAACATAAAACTGAAAGGCAGATGGAACATGCAGCAGGACATGATTATGATAGGGATAGAAATAAAACATATGATAGCCATGGTCCTGATTGGTTATCAGACACTTACAGAGATGTCCAAAAAGTAAAAGTGCAGGATTCTAATGATTTTAGAGGTAAACAAAGGATGGATCCTGAAAGACATTCAGGAGCTGTCCTTTATACTGATGGTAAATTAGATAATACAGCTGCATGTAGTGACATTCAAAGGAATTCTAAAGCTATTCTTTACACAGATGGAAAGAGACAAGATTTAGAAAGCAGGGGAATTGAGCAATATGATAGAGATAAAAGGAAACATAGTCCAGTCCCAGTAGAAGTAGCTAGGAAAAAGGTCAAAAGAGTATATAGTCCGGTGTCTGATAGTAAATCCCATGGGGAACTGAAAATACATGTTAGTGATAGAGGAAGGTGGATTGAAGGTGATCATAATTTAAGTCCTGTTTCAGATAATGCTTATGAAGATGAAAGATACAATATTGAAAGAAAAAAAGCTGATGATTTTCAGACAAAGGAAGTAGAATATGACCAAGCTTCCCTTGATGGGGCAGAAATGGTATCAGATAGTGAAAGTTATATAGGCGATGTGAGTGATACGAAGTTAAGAATTACTGTACGCGAACAAAGTCCTCTTTCACAACATTCTTCAAGGTATCAATCTAGTGGAGTTGGGAAAAGGTCTGAAAGTAAAAGTTACCTGGATAAAGAAAGAGTTAGTCCAAGTCGCTCTAATTATAGTAGAAATTCTGAGGAAAAAAGAAGTCAGTCTGATCGCAGCAGGCATACTGATAATTGGCAACAAGAGGGAAGAAATAGTTCAGAAAGGTGTGAAACTCATAGACATTCAAGTGATCACAGGAGTGAACATGATGATCAAAAACCACATTTCAATTTAGTTGTTCCAGATTTATGCAGGCCTTTTAACCAGAAAGGATGTTGTCGAAATAGTTGTGCAGGTCTCCATGTCTGTAAGTTCTTCATAATTGACCAGTGCAAGTTTGGTGACCACTGCTCAAAAGGCCATGATTTGTTTAACAGCCAGTCACTTGGTGTTTTAAGTAAACAAAATCCTGGAATAAGACGCAGTAATGCAACAGCAGAAGAAATTAAGAAGGTTATAAAAGAAAGAATAATATCAAATACCCCTGCTACTAGGCTTACTCACAACCCTTCAAAAGAAGTATCTCCGATCAAAGAACCTTTCAATGAAGTGGTTGCAGCAGATCCAAGTTTTGATGCAAGAAATTATGCAACTGGAAATGTTGTAGATGCTAGAGAAAAAATAAATAAGAAAAAAAATGCTTTTGACTCAAGCAAAGAAAAGATTGATAAATCAAAAACAAATGTTGACAAAGAACAGGGAAGTACAGGTAGTAAAAAAAGAAAGTCTGAAAAGAATTCAAATAAGAATGACAATTCAAGTAAAAGTAAATACAAACTTAATGATGAAAAATTCAAAGAGAAAAATTTAAAGCAGAAACAAACAGCCCAGAGTGAAAATGAAAATATGCTCAGCCCTGTGTCGGGTGATGAAGATGATTGGGAAAAGTATGAGAAATATGAGCAAGTCTCTGATGATGGTATGTCAGAGAAGGAAGACGGATTGGACAATGTGAGCTCAGATGAGTCTAGTGTTGAGCAGGTACAGGTCAATAGAGCTGTCAGTAGCTTTCCTCTTCCAACAGCAGAGAACATTGCTGTTCCTATAGGAATGAACGATCCATTAGTTTTCAACAGGCCGTTGAAAAAGAACTCTCAGAGCTATATAGGACCAATGAACAGACCTCCGCCCATGTTCCCTTTAACTGGTGAAAGCAACACACCTTTATTTCCAGTTGTTCCGCAGAACCAACCAGGGTTTACAGGAATGTCAATACCTGCACAACTGCCTAACCTACATGTACCAAACCATTTGCCATCACCTGATTTCATGAATCAAGTGATTAAAAGCCTTCCACCATTCAAAATTGAACCTCCGGATCAAAAAAATGTTTTTAAGAATGACAATAATCCTCGTAGTACTGAACTTGATTTTCCAAAGAAGAAAATTAAGACAGATAAAGCAGAGAAAGAACCAGAGTTGAAAGAAACAATAAAGAAGCTGTGGAAATTTCCACATAAAGGAATAATCAATATGTCCATTATTGAGTTTGTGACTGAAACAGAAGCATACAAGGAAGAATTTATTGCAGAGATTGTTAAGATTTTAGTAACACTTGAACTGCCTTATGTTACTATGAAAAAATTGTTGTCAGTTATAAAGGAAAAAGTGTCAATCAATGTTAAGTCTGAAGCTGATATGCGAAAAATTCTTGAGATGTATCCGAACAATTTCAAAATGATGGAAATGGTAGACTCAGATGATGAAAGTGATGATTTGGAGGCAAAGAAAAACGTTCAAATCAAAGCAAATATAGGTGTAGGGTTTTGTGAAAAACATGGATTTTTACCATTTGCTATAGGGAAGTGTGAATGTAATGCACTGCATTTGTGTAAATTTTATTTCTTAAGCGACTGCCCAGTGAAACTGTGCAAATTTGGACATAAACTTAAAACGGATCATAATGTAGCAGTGCTAAAGCAGCATAAGCTGCATAGACTAACTGGTGAAGAGATATTGAATTTCTTAGCAGACACAGATAATAGAAACAAAGAAATGATACCAAACATTTGCAAGTACTACATCCGAGAAAAAGGCTGTTATAAGGGAGATAATACTGATTTTGAAACCATATGCCATAGTTTACATTTATGTGCATATATTTTAAAAGGAAAGTGCATGAATCGTGAGTGTGATCGCTCCCATAGTATTCATGACAAACAGCCACTAAGTTTACTGAAAAAGTATGGACTTGATCCAAATGAATTAGGGGATGAGAAAGTTTTACTGATGCTTGGAGAGAAATGTATAGATACTGATAAAGGAAAAAGAGTAAGTGTAGTGAAACAAAGCCAGGGGACAAAAAATAGTAGAACTACAGAAGTGGCAAAGGACAATAAAGCAAGCAAAGCAGATTCTAGAAAGAATGCCGGTGAAGGTTTGATTATAGTGACACATAGTGAAACAAGACTGTCGTCAAAATACTTTGTACAAAATTTCAAAGTACCTGCTGTTTGCAAGTTTTATCAGAATGCACTAGGCTGCCGTAAAAAGGATTGGGGTGCAGCAGGAAAATGTTTCTTTCTGCATGTTTGTCAACATTATGTGGCGGGTGATTGTAACTATGGAGACAAGTGTAAACGATCACATGATCTTTTCTCTGGTCAAGCTGCAGAAATTCTTGAGAAATATAACTTTGACCTTGACAGTCTTACCTCCTCAGAAATTCTGAGGAGACTGAACAATAATTCTGGTGCACCAGTGGAGTTGCCAACATCTGAAAAAAGTTTAAACATGGACAATGAAAACGCAGAAATCACTATTGATAGTGTTGGTGAGCCCGACGATATTGATTTATCGAATTTTGATGTTTCTAATGCTTTTATGGAAGTTGAAAAATCAACAGTGAAAGAAAAGGGTGCTTCTTCTTCTGAAAAAGAAGGAAGACAAGGAGAAATGAACAAACACAAAGAAACTAGCAGCAGTTCAAAGACTGGTAAGGCCAAGTCTACACCATTTGCAAGTGGCAATGTTGAAGATGTTATTAAACATATTATGGAACATAACAAAGTGGATAAGAAATAAAGACAAGTGAAGTGTCTCCGGTTCAATAGAGAAAATGGCAATGAGTTTACTTAAGTCTTAAGATGAAAATTTAACTGAAATGGGAATTTTTTTTGTGTTAAAGAATATTTGGTAAGATTGAAGAAATACATGTAGATTAAAATGAATAATTAGTATACCGATAATTTATGCAGTTTAAGTCATTACTAAAAAGTTGATTACATCAGTTTGATTACATAAGGAAAGCATATTATGCTAATTTATGCAAATGTGAAATGAAAGTTGTATTTTGTGATTGGATTTTATTCAAACTTTTTGGATATATAATCAATCTCGAAGGTTGATTACGATAAGCTGGGATTGAGATAACCATGGGTCTTTTTTATTAAAACCGATTTTCATCAAAGACCATTAATTTATTGGGTAAAGCAAAAAAGCATGTTGTGTTACAAATTTAGTAAGACCAAATGAAGTATTCTATGTGGAAAATGATGAAGTGTCATAACTCAGGATTTGGGATAAAGCAGTGACATTTTGTAACATTATTTGTTTGCAGCTCTAGTGAAGTGTATGTAAAGAATTTACATGAATTTCATATATGGAATAGTTGTAGTGTTATGTCTAATCTATCAGAGTAACATGTAGATAAATTGGAAATAGTTCATTTGTGTGCGTTACTGATATTGTTGATAGAGTAACAGAGGACACAGAAAATTACATGGAAACTTTCAAATGATTGTGTTACATACATGTATTTGTTTATTATATTTTGCTTTATTTAGTGATACATTTTGTTATTTGCTTATAGACTTATAAGCCTATGGTTTGATTTTTGTTTGATTGAGGAAGTTGAGTATTGATGCCATGTGTTTTTTTTAAATTCATTAGGAAGATAGAACTGTTCATTTAGTGATTTACCCTCCAAAATGGAGAGAGACTGCTTTTCCTCGGTAATGCAGAAAACAATTTTATATTGCTTTGGAATTGCTTTGGAATACATAACATTGTACATCAGTTAAACATTAAGTTTACAGCAAAAAGAACTAAACATTGTATAGATTAATGAAATCATTACTTTAAAAGCGACCGAAGGGGAATGTGATTTTTTCTACATTATTAAGAGTTGGTTATAGTGGCATTAATAGAATCTGTTTTGAAAATTTGATTTTATGAACTTCTTTTTATTTACCAAGTACTTATAAATATTGATTAAAATAAATATGTTTTATAAACATGATAAATGTAAAAGTAAGTGCTAAATACATATGATGTCAAATTCTTTTCCAAAGATGCCGATTCATTTATTTTCAGTTTATTGTATATATATTATTCCAGGTACTCTGAACTTATCTAACATAATTTTGAGAGATTTATCACAAATTCTTTCAATAAACCAACCAACCGATAAAAAATCTGGCTGGTATAGTTTACTCCTGTGTAAATTTTCTTTTGGTTCCTAAGTTTATAAAATTCATGAATATGTTACATTTGTAAATAATGATGTTATTTTGGCACCAGCAGAGTTTTATTACATGTATAAATCATAGGCATACATGTGCCCATTGCACACAAACGATTTGCATTTTGATAACTTTTTTGTGTGTGTAGAATTTGAATAAATTGATGAATATATATTTCTATTATACCAGTGATTTAGAAATAGGCAGTCTAAGAGTTAATGTTTTTAAATGAAATTAGATAAAAGAATTTGTAGGACGATTTATCTGATTTACTTTTTGAAATTTATAACATATATTTATTTTCAGTTTTGGCAGACCATATTTTTACAGCATATATTTTGAATATTTTTTCAAAAATAATTTTTGGCAGTAGAAAATAATGTCTGTGTTGTCATATTTTATATTTTAGAATTATGATCTGAACCATTGGCATATTACGAATCTTTTGCCCGCTATTACCGTGTGTTTGAATCCCACCTGAGATTTCTGGGTCTGTCACTGTGTTGAAGCTATTCAACAGGCTTAGGAAAAGCGACTGGCTCTGCTCAGTTGGTCAGACGTACTCGTAAAATATATATCAGATGATGGCGTGTGCCTGAAATTTTTTCTTTATGACATGAATTTTCAATGCAGGTTAATTTTGATTTGACACAACAACACCAAAAAATATCGTGATGTGCCATCTGTTGGAATCAGTATGTAATGCATGTCTGTTAGATAGTATTTTTATGCCCCCCCCCCCCTTCGATGATGAGGGGGTTTATTGTCGGTCAGTCTGTCTGTTGATCTGTCTGTCTGTTTGTCTGTCCGTCGGTAGACCACATGGTTTCCGCTGATTATCTTGAAAACTATTTATCACAGTCTTCATATCTCACATATTGATTGGTCATAACTAGTAGATGACCCCCATTGATTTTGGGGTCACCAGGTCAAAGATCAAGGTCCTTGAATGGTAGTATGATTTCAACTCATGATCTTGAATGATAATTATCACAAAGTCTTCATATTTCACATAGTGATTGGTAATAACCAGCAATTGACCCTTATTGCCTTTGGGGTCATTAGTTCAAAGGTCACGGTCACAGGCGCTTTAAATGTCAATGTTTTCCGCTTATTATCTTGAAAACAATTTATCATAAAGTTTTCATTTTTCACATACTTATTGGCTATAACTAGTAAGTGACCCTAGTAAGTGATTTTGATGTCACTTGATCGAAGGTCAAGGCCACAGGGTTCTTGAATGTTAATTTGGTTTCCGCTTATTATCTTGAAGCTATCTATTACAAAGTCTACATATTTCTAAAATTGATTGGTCATAACTATAAGATAACCCCTATTGATTTTGGTTCACTAGTTCAAAGGTGAAGGTCACAGGGGCCTAATTGTCAGAATGGTTTCGCTCATTATCTTGAAAACTATTTATTAGAAAGTCTTCATTATTTTTCTTTTTTCCATAATTGAACACTTCCATGTACCAATTTATGGCAAGTTTCTATAACAAAATTACCAATAATGTGAGTCAATGGCTAGAAAGGGGGGCATATGTGTTGTTCGACATTTCTTGTTTTTATTGTGAATCCATATGTTATATTGAAGCATTTAAAGCAGGGTTTGCTTTATAACTGCCTTTGCATTTTAAATATTTGCCTTTTCATACTAATTTTGTCATAATGAATCTATCAGGCTTATAATTTGGAACTGCTCATTCTTCAGAGGTTTTAATTTTTAAAAAAATCAATATCGATCTTTGTTGCTTGACACACAGTTTGCAATTATAAGGCATTATGAACATGTTTTAATTAAGTTCTTAACTCCTATAATGATTACACTTTCAGGTAATTTGAAAATTTTTGTAAATATTTGAGTTCTTTGTTTAAAATGTGCAAGAGATGTAACTGTTTTAAGGGCTTGGGTGTCTTTGGTTTGTTGTTAATGATCAGTGTTAGAGTATTTGCTTCAATATCCCCTTGTTTGATTATACACTTATATGATGAAGAATTCAATGGAAGAGTAGAGAATTTACTCGCTTCAAGACGATCTTAGACGGACGGGGGTCATAATTATGACTTAAAATTGGTTTATTTTAGATCTTCCAGTGGCAAGAGCTGAAGATTTTCTAGTAGGATTGCAATATTAAAAAGTTCTTGCCATTGCCATTTTTACATAAGATTACTCAGCTGTTTATCTTTATTTGATGTACAAAAATCAGAGTATGTGTGCGTATCAGGGTAGGTCGGAGGGGGCGGGGGTTGTAGGTGGGTTCTTCTAATTTTGAGGGTCAAAGATGTTAACCTACCAGCTAAATTCTATTTGATAATTCTGATATTGTAGAAGGCCATAGAATTCAAAGCATATCATTTTTTCCCACTTTAAATGATAATTTTATGTACAACTGAAGATAAATTTAAAAGAATATTTTGCTCTCATTCTTACTTCTATACTTTACATTTTTACAGTTGTTTATGTATTGTATAAGAATAACCAAACACTTTCAAGTGTACATATTTTATGTAGACAGTGACAGTAATTGAAGTGAGTTAGAATAGCCATTGAAAATAAAACTGTAAATAATAAAATATTGTGTTTTTTTTGTTCATTCTGTACTTTAAGGATGTTTTCGAGAGTTTTCAAATAGAACTCTCTCGAGCTGTTTACCAGTACATGTTGTCTTCACTTTTGTTTTGCATGGAACTGATATTACATGCTAGAGCAGAGGCACAATGCCAGGATCATAGAAAAGATTTCATGATCAATTACATTGAAAATGACCTGCACCGTCCGGGATTCAGTTAGTCCGTTGCTCAGTCAACTTATTGAGCTAACCGGACAGTAATCAATAATATCTAATAAAAAAATAAACGATTATGAGGACTAGTAAGGGAAAATACAGGAACTACAACCTTTTATGTCTTAAATTTTTTAGGTCACCTAAGCTGATAGATGTGAGCTTTTAGGATCGTTAAATATCCGTCGTCTGTCATCCATCCACATTTAGTTTGTAACTGTAGTTTTACTGGAATGCTTTCCCGCCAAAAAATAATTCTTAACATCGGCCAATATCGTAATAAATTGGTCATTTTCGGAATGTTAGTTTTCACAATCTTAGGTATTTAATATTTTTTTAACCGTTTTAGCCGGAATTTAGTTTATAGCGATAAAGGATGAGCAATCTTATGCCCAATATTTTGAAAAAATAACTTTCCAGAAATAACCGATTTACTACGATATTGGCTAATAGAAATGTTTTGACGGGAATGCTCTAGTGGTCACATGTTTGCCTCAATTGTCACCAAACATGACAGACTAGTTGAAACATGGGTCATCTCCAATTAAAAACTAGGTCACTTAATCAAAAAATAATAAAATCTTGTTGTGAGGGGAATGTTTCTGTCCATATATCCTTGAAATTAGTCAGAAAGGTTGTTGGGATGTTTCTATGTCAAGTTTGAATATGGGTCACCTGGGGTCAAAAACTAGTAACACTGCCAAATTATGGGAAAAAAAAACTGCTGTTTGTCCAAATATCCAGGACATTGGTAAGAAAGGTCATTTAGATTATTTCTAGGTTAAGTTCGAATATACTAGTAGGTCATCTGGGGTCAAAAAACAAGATCATAAAGCTCAAATAAGGAAATACCTTCTTAACACTATAGAGGCTACTGTTTTGGTCCAACTCTACTTCACTGACTGATGCTTTTCATCCCCAGGAGATGCTTGGTAGTTTAGCGCGGAGGAAGGTAGACTGGTGTAACTCTCCAGGAACGATGGTTAGGAAACTACCCGCCTATTTGACTGAAATACTGTTGGAAAAGGGCGTAAAATGAAAAAAAAAATCATATTTGAATCTCCATGATGAAATTCCTTTCTAATGAACTTGCAACATTATTGTTGCCAGCAATAACATCTGTTCTCACTAATGTAATTGAGAAATCATCTGTGCAAAAAGATCAGTTTGAAAGAGCTAAGGCGAATATAAGAGTTATTAAGTATGAGAATGATAGACTTGAACAATATACTAGAAGAGAGAATATTAGAATTTTCAATCTTAAGCTGAACCCAGGTAAATCTCTGGCAGAAGGTGTTGTTGCCATGCTGAATGAAATGGCTTTACATGGGTATAATCCAGACGAGTCAGAGGGAGAGCCTCCATATCATTTTAAAGTAGAAGATATCAGTGTGTGCCATCGCCTTGGCAAGTTTCCGGAGGAAGGTCATCCAGATTCTCGTCCTGTTATTGTTCGGTTTGTCCGCAGGCAAACTGTACTTAATGTATTCAAATACAAAAAAAATCTTAGACATATGTCAAAATATCAAGAAGATAAAAGTCAGGGAAAGAAGTCTGTTTTCATTACAGAAGACCTTACAAGATTAAGAGTCAAACTTAGAGATTATGTTAAAATGCAGGAAGGTGTAAGCAGTGTGTATACTACAGAAGGAAATATCCATTGTACTAAGGAGGGTAAACACTATATTATCACAAATCCCGATGATCTCTTTAAACTTGGTATTGTGCCAGACCTTGATGAACTCCAGCTTCAGTCATTTGTATAGGATACATCGGAAGGTGGTGATGTGCCTCATTGTATTCTTGATTGCGATGACAGTGAGAATGTTCAAAGTGACAGTAACTTCGCACATGTAGGAGCCAATGAAAAGACAGTTCATGATCACACTTACAGTTATATGTTGTTACATTCCAGTTTAAAGTTTACATATTTAAATATTTGTGGTTTGATGAACAAATTGAATTATCCTGATTTTCATGACTTTATTAATAATTACGATATTATTGGGTTAGTTGAAACCAAACTAGATGACTTTGATACTGTATGTTGTAATGGTTTTAAATATATTGGTCTAAATCGTAAGTCCTTTAAACGTAAATCAGGTGGAATTGGGTTGTTAGTGAAAGAATGCTACTATCAATATGTATCTGTTTTGAATTATAGTAATGAAAACTGTTTGTGGTTTAAAATTGATAAGTTGTTTGAGTATAATATTATTTTTGGTGTTGTTTATATACCACCAGAAGGCTCTTCTTATAGTTCAATTGATATTTTTGACGATTTTGAAAACGATATTTTAAATTTTTCAGAAAATGATCCATACATATGTTTGATGGGTGATTTTAATTCAAAAACTGGACATTTACAAGACTTCATTAATTTTGATGAAAATATTGTTGACTTTAACTTTGACTATATCGCCAAGTATCAGTTAAGCAAACATAATTTAGATATGTTAGGTGTTCCCATTGATAGATATTCAATGGACCATTCTTGTAACAATTATGGTTACACACTGTTAGAATTATGTAAAACTTTTGATGTTCATATACTGAATGGTAGATGTGGTAATGATCAATATATTGGTCATTATACCAACACAGAAAACAGTGTCATTGATTACATTTTAATGTCTGCTGAGTTATTTCCGCAAGTATCTAAGTTTGATGTTCTACCATTTGATCCTTTATTGTCTGATATTCATGTTGCATTATCATTTTGCTTATCTTGTAAATTAGTTGATATTTCTGAGAACAATGTTAATAACAATTCTACATCTAGTGTTGAAAAGCCTGTATGGGATGCCAATTGTAAAACACTGTTTGTTGATTCTTTTGATCATATGGATATTAATAATCTTGTTGCTCAACTTGATAATTTAGCTGCATGTTGTAAGGAAGAAATTTCCTCTTGTATAAATTTAGTTGTCTCAGATATTTCTGACATTTATACTAAAGCTGCAAAAAATGCAAACATGATTAAAACTGTTGTTGTAAATAGTAGGGTCGATAATGATACTTATAAATTAACAAAACCATGGTATGATCAGGAATGTAGGGAAAAAAGATCTGTATACATGAAAGCAAAAAAAGAATATAGACGTCTCAATTCCAATGTAAATTTAGAGTCTTTAAAAAGTGCAAGTAAAATGTACAAAAAAGAAATAAGTTTAAAGCTTCATAAATATAATAAAACTATTAATAATAAGTTTAGAAATTTACGTCATTCAGACCCAAAAGCATATTGGTCTTTACTGAATAAATACTCGGGAGAAAGAAATAAAATTATGTCTAATATTAGTGCAGAGGCTTTTTATGAACATTTCAGTAAATTGAATGAAAATAATGAGGGAGAGAATGTTGATTTTGATATAACCAATATATCAGATTATAATTTTGAATTGAACTCCACTATTACTAACAGTGAAATATTGAAAGCAATTAAAAGTTTAAGTAATAATAAAGCTTGTTCTTTACATGACAATATATTGAATGAGTATATCAAGTACTCTAAAGATATTATGCTGCCTGTTCTAAATAAATTGTTTAATATCATTTTTGAATCAGCATGTGTCCCAGAAGTCTGGTGCAAAGGAGTTATTTTTCCTATTTATAAAAAAAGGGTGATGTAATAACCCAGACAACTACAGAGGAATCACTATTTTAAGTGGTTTAGGAAAATTATTCACAAGTATTCTTAATAACAGACTTAATTAATACTTTTCTAGAAAATTCAGGACTGTTATGTGAAGAGCAGGCTGGTTTTCGTAAAGATTATGGAACTGTTGATCATATATTTACTTTGAAACTGTTAGTTGATTTTTATCTAAGTAAGAATAAGAAATTATATTGTGCATTTGTGGATTATAAAAAAGCTTTCGATTCTGTAAATAGAACTTTTTATGGATGAAACTTTTAAAGCACAATGTAGATGGTAAAATGCTAAGGGTAATTTATAGTATTTACGACAAAGCTAAATCCTGTGTAAAAAGCACTCAGGGTTTATCAACATATTTTACAAGTGCAACAGGTGTCCGTCAAGGTGAAAACCTATCACCCATTCTTTTTTCTGTCTTCCTGAATGATCTTGTAGAACATATCTCAAATACGTATAATGGTTTAGATTTACTTTCGCAGTCTATTTAAAATGTACTAAGTGATGATGTAGTAGAGGTTTACTTTAAATTGTTTTTACTGCTTTATGCTGATGATACTGTAATTTTTGCAGAATCTGCATCTGATTTTCAGTTAGCACTAGATGCTATGTCTACTTATTGCGAGTTATAAAAAATTCAAGTAAATACAGCCAAAACTAAAGTGGTGATTTTTTCAAAAGGGAAATGTAGAAATACTCCTTCTTTTTACTTTAACAATGCCATACTTGATATTGTTGAGGATTTTAGCTACTTAGGTGTTAAGGTTAATTATAATGGTAAGTTCAATAAAACTACTAAATACTTGTGTGACCAAGCTAGAAAAGCTATGTTTGCTGTACTTAAAAAATCCAGAACTCTTTGTCTTGATATAGATTTACAGTTACAACTTTTTGACTCCATGGTCACTCCTATTTTGTTATATGGTGTATAAGTGTGGGGTGTAGGTAACATTGATATTGTAAAGCAATTTCAGTTGAAATATCTTAAACTCATAATGAATGTCAAAAAGTCCACTCCTAGTGTTATGGTATTTGGGGAGCTTGGTACTCTTCCAATTGATTGTGTCATAAAATGTAGAGTCCTAAATTTTTGGTGCAAAATCATTAATTCGAAACCTGATAAAGTATGTAATATT